TGGAGTCCTACAATAAGACGAAATGATCATCTAGTCGCTTTCAGTTTTTCCATGGTAATCTACCTTCAATTGATTTATGGTCTCAACGATTGAAATAACTACAATCTCCAAAATAACACCTGTTACTACTCAAATAAGGATAAAAATTATATTTATGTTGATAAGTAATATTTTACTGTCTCTCTATATATCTGATTTCAATCAGTTTATACAAATGTTATTGTGATAGACATATCACCAATCCTTGTATATAACCATCGACTTAATCCCCGTTAGTGATTAATGGAATTAAAATAAGTCGAATACAAGAATGAAGATTTGAATACGTATGTTTTGTACACTTGTTGTTCAGAACAAACAATCAAAGAATCGCAGCGATTAAAGTGACGTAGAGAGAGCAAAGTGAAGAAGGATTGTAAGACAACTCAATTTAATCAAATGTTAGTCAATATTTATAGTTACACAACAATAAGTTACAGACATGTGATGAATAGGATAAGTAGGGTACATACACATACGATTATATGAAGACAATCAGGGTTGATAAGTGAATAATTAACATGGTCAAAATATCATTCAAGAACAATGAATGAATGAATGAATTGACTTATTCAGAAGCTAAAATAGGGTATATGGGCTTTACATAGTAACCGACACTACAATATAAATACATTTAGACAGATGAATGGATCATCAGTATAAAATTTTGTCAAAATGATTGAATCTGAATGAATTCACAAATGAATCAAAGTTAAATATCAGAAAGCATTAGACAGCTATTTCGTTCTAGTATGAAACGCCTCACCACTTGTTATAACTTTTGGCCTGTGTGCTCTGTTAATGTATAACGTAACGATACTGTCAATTAGAGAGTACTGAATTATTGATCGAACCAGTGACACATAAACCCGTACGAACAGTCTAGATTCCTTATCTGTTCGTCTCCCAATCTCAACCTCTGCAATATGAATCATGTATTGTAAACATACTGGGTTTATATACCGACCAAACAGACCACATCGTACCATAAAATAGGAAACAACATTTGTACATGAATTAGCCAAATGTGGCTGTGAATGTGGGAGGTAGTGATTAATAGACTAGGCATAATTCAAGAATGGTAAATCGTAGAATAGGAGTTCATAGGTTAATATAAGGCTCATAAATAGTGGGACATGAATATGAACAGTTTATTACATAAAAATTACACGATAGTATTGATCCATAAATGGATCTCAAAAGTTTTCATTCATTATTCTTATCGGGATATAACAACATTGCACATCGACTCGGGATCGATACTTTGCTCGTAGATGCATACTGTTGAAGTGTTCAATGTCAGGATGAAACATTGTCTAATCTTTATATTGATTTGTGTTACTAATAACAATCAATCAATTGTAATTCTTAAAACTGTCAACTTATCTTATTTTATTTTAGTCATAAGCAACACAAGGCATCAAGTTTTATTTATCATAATGTATGAAGAATTCCAATATTTGGCATTTGGAAATGAAGAATAAATCAGAATATATAAAAAAATAATAATCTCAATAGTTGAGATCATGAGTCAGTTGAAGCTAAATCACCATGGAAAACCTGAAAGCACCGGACGGCCGTTTCGTCCTATTGTGGGACTCCTCAGTAGTGCGCATCCACAACCCCGCCTCGCAGGATTCCAATCCAGGATCTATTAGTCTCACACTAGGCGCTTAACCGCCAGACCACTGAGCCGGCATCCAACGGTGTCAAAGTCTAACTTTAACTAATAATAAAATTCCTTTACAGCAATGCCAAACCCTCCTCCTTTATCAGGGCTTGGGACCGGCAGTAACTGTAGAGAAGCTAAAGGCGAAGTTTTACCACAGTAATTCATTTGGCATTGTTTGCTTGTATCTTCCCATTGTTGTGTAGGAGTGCGATCGATCAATTTCTTTTTGGCATAGGTGTATCCTGTAGGGATTACCTCGTTATTGCCTAAAGTCACAAGCATTCTAAGCAAAGATGAGGATGTAATCCAGAAAGCGTGTTTCGTCCTATTTAGGACTCGTCGGATGTTCACCCTGAGACTCGAACCCATTACCGTCCACTTCAAACGTCATCGCGCTATCCATTTAGTCACTGAATCCTGATAGCCGCTAACTTGTGAAATGCGGTTAAGTTTTTAGATTCGCTTGGTATTGTTTGCTTGTACCTTCCCATTGTTATGTAGGACTGCAATTGATCAGTCTCTTGTTGGTACATGTGCATACTGTACGTACTGCCTCAATTGTGCTTTAATTCACAAGCATTATAAGCAATGACGTATAGTGGCTAGCAGAGAGGATTTCTTGAGGATTCCTGATACAAACATGTTGAGAGTGTGAATTATTGGTTTCTGATAAGACTATTTTAATGGTATAGAAACAGATTTCCAGTATCTTATTTCCGTATTGATTAGTATTAATACAGAGGCTCAATTGATTGCCTTGTCCATAACTATCTCTTTCATAGTACGATCAACTGTATATACGTAATCATATGTATCTGTCAAAGCAGTTACATTTTTTGGAACAGGTTGAGAGGTTATGTTCGATTCAAAGAATATATATATATAAGGACAAGTGGATTACAACCATTCAGCAGTGTCATCTTATGACATCTCCTTGATATAGGACATGAGATGGATACACTGAAATCTTTCAAGATGATTAATAAACAATGAAACTTCAATCTTCTGAAATTTTCCCATCAAATATTTTAAACCAGATCTATGTGGCTAAAAAGAGACAGTAATAAATCTTTCTTTGTCATGGTAACATGATACTCCTTTTATTGCTTCATTCATTATCTCAAATCTCTTTCTCTCTCTCTCTCGCAAGTTTAATCACATCACTGTCGAGATTAGATGGTAGTTGGAGGTAGTCAACACGAAACCCTGGACCCATGTTTCGTGCTACTCGGCACTCATCAGCAAAGTGTACTTGTAATCTTGAGGGAACTGGTGCTCCCTGACGGATTTGTCCCCGTGTCACCCAGCTTCACAGTCAGAGATATTACTACTGAGCTATCCGGACCGTGACCGACCTCCTGTAGGACTGAGATGTAATCACGATTGACTAATCACCACCCAGTGATCAATCAGTTGTGATTACATCACTGTCATTTCTAGTTAATTCATAATTGACTGATCCCAACTTTCTTTAGTATTATTAATCTGTTTCTGGTCACTTCATTACATAATCATCTACTGTTTAATAACTCAATGAGGTCGAACTATTAGTTCAATGTTCTGCAATTTTCCCTCTCAAACCTTATTTATGTAACTAAAACAAAGTTTTATATACAAAGATAAATGGCGGGTTAATAGTGGAATCCAGAATGCATGTTCAGTCCTATTTGAAGACTCATCAAATGAATTTGGAAGTTGATATTTACTCTAGAACTCGAACTCAGTACAGTTCACTTCAAATGCCATCATGTAATCCACTTCGCTGCCTTATTAATTCGATTGGAATCTTTCCAACATCATGATACATAAATTCAGATTTAATAACCATGGTAGTTACCACAAGTATGTCAATATCTAGGCGATAAGAACCTGGAATAGAAAAACTAACTTTTATATCACAGTATTTTGTTATTTATATTTGGATACATAAATGTTGGTACCAAGGGGGAACCGAATACATATGCGACACACAAGTCACTTAATTTGTGTATGTGGGCTGTGATACTGCATGGGTGTTCAGACAGAAGCAGGTGGTTTCTTTAGAAGGTCACACACGAAGCCTTCGATCTAAAAAGTCTGATACACAATGCAGTAGAGCAATGTAAGGAGATGTAGTCTCATGGTAGCCGGTGACTAACAATTGTTTCATATACTATTTGTTCATTCAGAATACTGGAGCCCATATATACCATTAGATTGGAATTAGGATTTTCTAACACCCCAAAGTGGATCCTCCATATCCACCAACACGATTAAAGCCCCTGACGTATATTCGCTTTTCTTTCGCTCAATTTCATAAACAACAATTACTATTATCAGCTTTATTCAATATTATATTTTTGGTACAATATAGAATACTCAGCGTTAAAGTATTTCAACAAGTTTCCGTTTCTTTCTTCTTGGTCGGTCCTGGCGTCAAATATTGAGTGATCGCCAGTTAGATGTTAGCAGTTCACTGAATGAACATCTGAATAATGTGCATTCTTTTCGTTGTATGTTGCCAGCAACCACGTTGTCTCTTATTGAGTTTTTCGTAACTTTGACAACGAAAGGTTGTACACTTTTCAGAAACGCAGCAGAATAGGTTATGCGATTTATAAACATAATAATATATTTAAAACAAACAAAAATAGATAACTTGTTGAAATATCTAGATGGCAGGAACAGGTAGCCCAAATGCTCAAGCAGGCCGCCAAAGAGTGCCACAAGAAGGTAGTGTGTAGAACTTCCCTGTCAGTGATTGTATACGAGTGGCCATGTGAAAGCATTTGAATAGAGAGAGAGAGAGCTAACTCTCCCTACTCTCGATTGTACCAGGGCATTTCGACTCCTTTTTCATCGTTTATCATTTCATAATAATATATAAATGTACAAAAATATTCTTATTCATAAGGTAGTTTTATTATGTTGCATAAATAATACCTACCAAAACCCTCACCCTCAACCTCAACCCCTCCCCCTCCCGGTCAAATAATTCAACGCCATAGGAACAATAGATATTTGATAATTGAATAACTGACTAATTGAAGGAAAGAAAAACAAAAAATACAATCACATAGTAACTATACTTTCTAAATAAATTCTGATTGATAATAATAATGGTCTACAGTTAAATACTAATAGATACCATGTGATAAAAGGAATTCATTAGTCACTAATAAACGTGTTTCTAAGCGTATCATATTGCTTATGAGTATCATGTGTTTCATGTACAATGTACCTACATATTTGCATAGATATACCCAAGTATCTATGTCTCTCTCTCTCTCTCTCTCTATGTATATATACTTGACAAGCCAAATGATATATGAGATAACCTATATGGTAATCTTGAAAAGCTTTTCTTTGTAAAGTAAGTCATTTTGGGAATCCCATTCAAAATTGAGTTATGATTTAATATAAAACAAGAAGATTTCTTTATAAGTGATTGATAGATAGTCGTTAGAATAGAAACATCCAGCTGATGAGTCCCAAATAGGACAAAACGCGCGTCGTGCATTCCATTGTCAACCACTATCTATCATTGCTTACAAAAGAATTTGGATATATGTTTCGTCTTATTTTTGAGGCTCATCAATTGGATGTACTTGTATCAAAGAGTCGATGTTCACTTTGAGACAATAACATAATACCGTTTGTTTCAAACACTATCATTTGATTCATTTAGCTACTGATTTCAAGTAGTCAATGGCTTGTTTAATAGGTTGAAGTTTTAATTTATTTTTGCATCGGTTGCTTAAATCCTACCATTTAAATTTTAACCCACTGTATAAGGAAATGACTATCAAGACTTAGTAGCTTAGTGGATAATGTAATAGAGTTTGAAGCGAACGGTTCTCTGTTTGAGTCTCAGAGTGAACATCAATTTCGTGATACAGATACATCCAGATGACGAGTCACTAATAGGACGAAACACACGTACTGGAATCCACTGCTAGCCTCTATCCATCTTTGTTATCACTAACTATTCAGTATATATATATATACATTATATTGACTGAATTAATTTGTTGAAGCTAGATAACCATGGAAAACCTGAAAGTACTGGACGGCCGTTTCATTATATTATAGTTCATGATCTCAATCAAAAACTCTGATAATCTCTACAACCGTTAACTAATAATTACCATGAGCTCACTAATGATCAGCGTCGTGAGGGAATTCTCTAACTTCTAGTGAGAAAGTTTGGACCAGTGGAGTTAATCGGCGTTAGATAGAGACAGATATCTACCTCAGTACAATGGAGGATAGTCATGCAATTTCATGAATTGGTTGAGGTTATAACATTAACACCGTTAGATGACAGATAACTCATTGATCTAAATGTTAAGCGTTCGTGCTCAAGACGGAACACTCTATGTTCGAATCCCATGAGTAGGATCATGGATGCACACTGCTGAGGGGTACCACAACAGGACGAACCAGTCGTCCAGTGATTCCACATTTTCAATCCTGGTCTAACATGATCTTAAATCAATCAAAACATACTACTAAATAAATATAAATGAGGATATATGATTGATCACTAAAAAAAGAAAACAATAAATCAAGTAAACAAACAAGATAGACAGACAGAGCGAGGGGGAGAAGAGCACCACCAACAAGAAGGAGAAAGAATGGGAGGGGAGAAGAGGAACATTGTTTACTGTTTCCACATAAACTATGTTATTTACAAAAAAAACTGTTCGACTACTAATTTACAATTCAATAGTCAATCAATTGGTTAGATTCATAATGTTATTTTCTTTTCTTTAAGAATATCTAAGTACATATGATATAACCCCGGATGTGAATAACAAATGGTAACTATTAGGATCTTATATATGGTCTTATCCTATTCAGAGATTGTTATGGTATCATTGTTATGTAGATTTTGAACTATATAGCCACAAGTATATAGCCACTATCAGGGATATTCTTTGGCTAGTTACTATCAGCGACAATTTATTGTGAAAGAGAATAAACCAACTTGTAAATGAGGAGGAGATTAGAGAAAGACATTGGAAGTGGATAGAACATATATGTATAATGGAAATCATCAAACTATATCACGAGGCAAGCGCAATCGTTTGGAATGCTGAAGGGAAACAGAAAAAAAAAGAAAGCCAAAGAACATACCACGTCGAGAAATGGAAGCAGATATGAAAAAGGATGAATAGCAACTAGAAAGGATTACCCAGGATAGGGTTGAATGGAGAATGTTGGTGGTTGGTTTATCCACCTCCAAGAGCTGTAACAGGCCTAAGTACGTATGTAAGTGAGGGATACCCTACTTAACACCTTCTCATGGCAGGAGTATTGTTTATGAAATAACGACATGTTATAGGAATATATTCAATAATTGTTCATTCGTAAAACTGCACATCTTTTTACATTTTGCTAAGATTCTACGTGTTTCCATTGTGTCCCAGATCAATTGGATTCATTATCAAATCAGAACTTTGAAATTTATCAAGGATATATTCGCAGGTAACCTACCTTAATACATTAAACTTATTTATAACTATTTGTCTATGCATTAATTTTATAATACTAATATGTTGTATACTACTGCCTTCATTGCTCTGATACGGCAGAGAGTGGGAAGAGTTAGCTTGCCCTCTCGAAATGCTCTCACATGACCACGTGTATACAACCATTGTCAGAAAAGTCCTACTCATAGTCTTCTCACGGCACTACTGTTATTTAAGAAATTGAGAGGAAGAAATGCGAATGACCGTCAGGGGCTTTAAACGTGTTGGTGAATATGGAGGATCAACTTAGGGGATTTGGGAAATCCTGGTTTCAAACCAATGGTACACATAGGCTCCAACATCCTGATGGAATAAATAGAGTATGAATCAATTGTTGGTCACCGGCTACCATGAAACTGTACCTCCTTAGGTTGATCCACTGCATTGTGGATCAAAGCTCTAGGTCGAAGGCTCCATGTGTGGTCTCCTAAGAAAACCACCTGCTTCATTTTAGGCACCCGGTTAGTATCACAGCTCCCACACACAAATCAAGTGCATTATGCGTCACATATGTATTCGGTGCTCATTTCTACCAATATTTATGTGTTCAAATAAATAAGATAATGTTGTATGCTACTTATGATGACAGATATAAGTAGTATTTAACATCAATTAGAAATGAAATGTCTAGCAGTAGATGATTGAAAAGATCAAATTGACAAGAACTGAACTGTTAACAGACAGTAATTGTAATAACAACAGAATTGAAAGAATCATGAATTATGTAAAGTTCAACTGAAGGAACATATGCAAATAATACAATGAATGTATAGTTTTCATATCTAACAAAACACATAGTACTTTTGAAATATACATGGAAACCATTCATTGAATACAATATTTGTACATCCTCTTTGCATAGTCCTTTACACAATCCACCATTCCTTTAATTTCGTTATTATTTGGATTGCTTTCCGATTTCCATTATGTTCTCAACGTCCGAAACTTCTACTGACAGTTATTCCACTTTCCATTTCTGTTATATACTACTAATATCAGTCATTATAAGTAGCATACACCATATATATATGATTTATAAGTATCTCTGTTATTCTCGTATTAAATCACTTTGTTACATGATCAATACATCGTAAATAAAAACTGTGTAGATGATGGAATGCTTACATCGTTTATGTGATTAAACTGTAAGCAAGTATATTTGTACAGCTGACATTCAGTTAGTAACGTAACAATGACACTAGAAGGAGAATCTATATGATACCTTGTATTTCAACCCATTGATACTGTTTATGATTACGTGTGTATCATAAAGCACGATTCAATATATTACTGATGATTTTTCTAAGTGATACTAGTTTCTAAGAAAAGTTAATTATAATTATATTGAAAATCCAGTTAGATAGCTGGTTTCATTGTTTTGTAATATGAACTTGCTTATAGACATACAGTAATCCCACAAGGCGGGATCGTGGATGCGCACTGACGAGGAGTCCCACGACAGGACGAAACGGTCATCCAGTGTTTCCATGGTGGTTTAGCTTCACTTGACTCATGATCTCAACTATTGATATAATAATTCGTTTACTATAGCTGATGAACATAGATTGCATTGGAAACTGATTTCAGTTAGATTATCATTGAAAACCAGGAAGCATTTGACAGACATTACGTACTGATATCCATTACATCGGAAGATTGAAACCATGACCCTATAGGGTATAAGACTCAAAATCTGAAGATCTTCCGACGAATATTTAATTGTATGATCGCTTAGACAATGTCGAAATGGTTACTGTTTCTAACTGCAATCAATTCTCAGTATTGTACAGCCTTCTTTTGCTTACATTAATGAGTAAGCGCTTCACTATGAGAAGGTCAATACTTCATACAATGACTGAAGTTAGATATATAAACTAGTGGGTACGACCCTATTAGTCTTAATGTTAAGCACTTGTCGGTAGATAAAAAGGTCCTGGGTTCCATGCCCTTTAAGATCGTGGTTTAGATCTTCTGATATGACTCATAATGGGACGAGATATCTGTCCAATACTCCCTGATTTTCAATGGTTGTCTAACCAATACCAGTCCAAGAAGAAAACTATAAAAATCCAAATAACTCCTTAAAATCCTTACACTTATTCAATGAACACTGAGTAGTGACCAATCTTATGCCTATCTACTGATTCAGTGTTCTTTGAATTCCACTGATCAAGTTGTTATGTCGTTATCATTCTACGTGACTGGAAGTCACATAAATTACATTTAAAATTAAGATGGTTAGAAGTAGTTAACCGTTTGTTGACTCCTGAAATATCATTGGTTTGTCAGTATTCAATGTTCAGTCAGTTTTAAATATATCTCAGTGTTACGTGATGTCATTTACGTCTTGAACAGTTCAATGGTAGTCCTCGACTGTGAAGCTGTGTAACTCAGGGTCGAATTCGCCAAGGAGCATCAATGCCCTCCAGATTACACATATAACTTACTATTTATTTATTTATTTTAACACATATATATTAATACAAGGAGGCACTAAATACATATGCGCCACACAAATCTCATTCGATATGTGTGAGAGCTGTGATGCTGCTCGGGTGCCCAAACCGAAGCAGGTGGTTTTCTTAGGAAGCCACACCCCGAGCCTTCGACCTGAAGGTCTGATCCACAAGGCAGTGGAGCATTGTAAGGGGATGCAGTCCCATGGAAGCCGGTGACCAACAATTGGTTCATACGCCATTTGTTCCCACAGGATACTGGAGCCCATGTGCACCATTGGTTTGGAATCCGGTTAAAGCACTGGACATTCGCTTTTCGTCCTCTCATTTTCGTAAACAACACCCCCGCCACGAGAAGGCATTGAGTATGACTTCCCTGGCAGAGGCTATATACGTGTGGCCATGTGAGAGCATTTCGAGAAAGAGAGCGGACTCTCCCCACTCGCGTCCGTACCAGGGCATTCGGGGGCAATAACTTACTGACGAGTGCCAAACATCATGTTGCTTAGTTCCAGGATTCCCGGTTGAATGCTTCCAATCACCATGATGTCTTAATAATTATATATTTTAAGCAGGTTAAAAAACACTGATTCGCGACGATATATTCAAACTAAAGGTCTTATTTTTGTCGGCAGACAATTTACTCATCTGTTTATAAACAACTACTTAACAATTTACACAAGACATACTTACTTACGCCAGTTACTACTAATGGAGCATAAGCCGCCGACCAGTATTCTCCAACTCACTCTGTCCTGGGCCTTCCTCTCCAGTTCCATCCAATTCTTACTCATTCGTCTCATGTATGTCTCCATTTCCCAACGCAATTTGTTCTCTGATCATCCTCTTCTCCTTCGGCTTTGAGGATTCCATGTGAGAGCTTGCCTTGTGATACAGTTGGGTGCTTTCCTCAATATGTGTTCTATCCACTTCCAGCAATTTTTCCTGATTTCCTTCTCCATCGGGATCTGCTTTGTTCTCTCCCATAGTAGATTATTGCTGATAGTGTCTGACCAATGAATCCGAAGTATTTCGAGTAGACGATTGTTAATAAACACTTGTATCCTTTGTATGATGGCTTTCGTAGTTCTCCAGGTTTCCACCTCATACAGTAAAACTGTCTTGATATTTGTATTGAAAATCCTGACCTTGTTGTTGGTTGACAGAGAGTTGTTTTGAGTTCCAGATGTTCTTTAGTTGTATATATGCAGCTCTTGCTTTGTCGATTTGCGCCTTCACATCTGCATCAGATACACCGTCACGGTTTTATCCTTGTGATTTGTGTTAATGTCTAACTTCAATTAATTCACGATATTTCATATTCCTTATCCATTATCATTATTATCATAACCAAAAATGTTTTATACGCATTCTTATAACCTGAACGAGAACACAGACGAGAACATCCAAATCTACTTTATTGCAACATACAGAACTCCACCTGGAGTTCCTCTGCGGTCTTCTGCCGATCCCAAGCCCGGATAAAGGAGGAATACAGTAAAAAAAAATCAACACCATTCTGTAAAATATCAATCAATTATCTCAGATTTCATTGTTCTTTCGTTTCCACTTCAAGCATTATTTGTTCTCATCCGCTTGTTTTCAATCTTCTTCATCTTCTGCCATCTACTTTGTATTAGTGAATAATACATACTACTTATATATTTTGAAATTAGATGGTGGTTGTAGGTAGTCAATAGGAAACCCTGGACCCGGGTTTCGTGCTACTTGGCACTCATCAACAAGGTGTACCTGTAATCTTGACGGCATTGGTGCTCCCTGGCGGATTCGCTTTCGTGTCACCCAGCTTCATAGTCAGAGACATTACTACAGAGCTATTCTGGCCACGACTGACCTCCTACTTATATACGTATCAATATCAGTAATACATATATTATAATATACTAATAGTGATATCAATCAAATGTATAGATTTCACTTACCTCAACAATAGCAACAAAAGTAATTGATAGTTTTACACATTGTAATCAATCAAAGATGAACTCATTTAAACATAGACCTATAGAATGAATCTTATAGTTCATGGTAATGAATTACGTGATGTTTTCGAATATGACTGATCATGATCATGATCATAAGTAGTAGCATAGTAATATATAAATGAGCCGATTATCATCTATATAACCTTCTTATATAATCATAAGCTGATTACCTATTACATAATCTCTATAAATGAACATTCTATTTATTAATCTATAATCAATTCTATTCTTATAAATATGGATTAATGACATAATAATTTTCTATGAATATGGAACATAATTGATTCAGATCATACTGATTATTATTTTACTTGATAGATACTATAATGAAAGAGGAAAGTATCATGACTGTAATTGAAGATGATCAAATCAATAAAGTAACCAATATGAGTAATGGTTGTCTGAATTGTATCAGAAGTCGTACAACAATATTGATTATTGTATTTATTGCATTACTTCTAGATAATGTATTATTAACTACTATTGGTAAGTCATTATTGATCATATGTGTATCTATCTATCTATATATATAGCTGTATTGATATAGTAATCTTATGTAATCTCGATGTCATTACTTATTTACTTACGACTGTTACTCTCAATGGAGCATAGGCCGCCAACCAGTATTCTCCAACTCACTTGTTATATTTGGTCATCTCTGATTGTTGTGCCGGAAAATGCCGCTGATCACTTATACTCGTAATGAGGGACCTCGGCAATTCCCACGATGTAAAAGTAAGAACAAAAAGACTGGTATAAGTGAAGATTTATTAGCCTCAAAACACTATGATGACGACGATGATCATAATAGTCTAAAATACACTGGTTTATATATTGATTGTACACCCATTTTTCATTAATAATTAGGATGAAATCACATATTCTTATCTACTTACTTACGTCTGTTACTCCTCGTGAAAGAGCATAGGCCGCTCACCAGCATTCTCCATCCAACCCTGTCATGGGCAATTCTTTCTAGCTCCTTCCAGCTGTTATTCATCCTTTCCATATCTGCTTTTATTTCTCGACGTAATGCGTTCTTTGGCCTTGCTCTTTTCCGTCTTCCTCCATGATTCTAAGTTAACATTTGTCTCTTTATGTAGTTTGACGATTTGCGTAGTGTATGTCCATTTCCATCGTCTTTTCCTAATTTCTTCTTCAGCTGGAAGCTGATTTGTTCTCTCTCAGAGAAGACTATTGCTGATGGTATCCGACCAATGGATGTTTAGTATCTTGCGAAGACAGCTATTTATAAATACTTGTACTTTCTTGATGGTGGTTGTTGTAGTTCTCCAAATCACTTACTGAGCACAATTCATGTCAACTGAATACAAGAATATCGTATGTTACACAAAAGAAAATATCATACTGCGAAAACAAATCAAATACCACACTGAATGATCCTCATGTTGAATTAGAAGGGAAGGAATGTTTAATAAAAACTCACAATGAGTAATTCAATTGAAAATAGACTTTTCTTTCCATCATATCACCTCCTCTTTTTTGAAGATCCAGAGTTAATAACCGGATTTTAATTTTTCCGAGTTCATATTGTTATATCTTGTGACCGCCGATTAATATGCAGTGACTTATCGATCAGACCTGTACGAGCAGTCTAGAGTTCTGATTAGTCCCGCTTCCCTGTCTAGTCCAGTCGGTTGAGTCTAGAACACCAAATCTCAGCCTCTGCGATATGAATCATTTATTTCAAGCATACGGGGTTTATATACCAATCAAGCAGACCACATTGTACCATAAAATAGAAAATACACATTTGGCCAACAGGAAATGACACATGAAATAAATATTGACCAATAGGAAAATGATACCATCTCGAGTCCAAACGATAGCATTAGACTTAAAAAGATAACGTTTTGGGATATATTTTTTTTTGAATATCCCAACATCACTCTGTCCTGGACCTTTCTTTTTAGTTCTGTTCAATTTCTGTTCATTTTCCTCATGTTTATCTTCATTTCTCGGTGTAATGTGTTCTTTGGTCTTAAGGATTCCAAGTGATAAGTGATTGTGTTGTGAAGCAATTTGGTGCTTTCCTCAATATGTGTCCTATTCACTTTCAAAGTTTCTTCTTGATTTCTTCCTCCGTTTATGGTGATCCCTAAACTTCGTAAATTGTTATTAGATAATGTCGTCAAACGATGTACACATTAGAAAAGACAAGTACAAAGTGTTGATTGTGTTTATTATGACATAAAGTACAGATTATCAAAACCATAGATACACGATATGAGAATGAAAGATGAATGTTGAAAAGCAATCGAACAAGTGAACAAATTCGTGAATCAAACTGAATAGCATTAAAATGTACATATAAGTGAGACTAGAATTTGTGAACGAACCAATCAGGTGTATAAGATAATAGGTCTTGGATTTTAGCGCGAAATTCATCTATCCATTTGGATAAATACAGTTTTGGTATTACAGCTGATGTCAGTTCGTAAGGAAAACCCTAAATCTAATTTCTAACTCTTAACCATCAACTTTAAATCATCATTTGAATTCCGCAATATTGGTTTATAACCATCATTTAGTCTTAGTTTCTAGGTGGATACTCTCAAAGTCACTATCGTGTCTCTCGTAAGTCGTCCATAAATTATCGTCTCACCCACATATACATATATATACGTAAGGAAATCAATTAAGCGACTAATAGTAGAATATATACGTCGGCGGTAAGCAATGCTCAATCATACAGATTCATAAAAGTGTAACAATAATAAAGGTACAATGATATGTTATGAAATGATATTGTGTTGTCTTTGATAAGATTGAATTCCTTTGAACTTCATACTGAAAGCATCCATCTATATTCATCTTCATTGTTTCAATTCAGTTATTTGCTTATACATAGTATAATCATCATCATCATCATCATCATCATCATCATCATCATCATCATCATCATCATCATCATCATCATCATCATCATCATCATCATCATCATCATCATCATCATCATCATCATCATCATCATCATCATCATCATCATCATCATCATCATCATCATCATCATCATCATCATCATCATCATCATCATCATCATCATCATCATCATCATCATCATCCAAATCATCATCATCATCATCATGATGTATGATCACTATTTATACAGCAGCTTCATTCAATTATTTCATATAGGTTCTTAGTGTATTTAGTATAAACTGACTCAAGATGACAGTATATAGATAATAATAGATATCAATAAGGGCTATTTATTCATAATCATATTTCAGTAGTTTTAAATGACTTCTTTGATCATATTGTGGTGTGTGTGTGGGGGGGGGCTACTTATGTCTACAGATATAAGTAGTATGTATCATCAATAGAAAATGGAATGCTTAGTAGCAGAAGATTAAAAAGATCGAAGAGAAGAGAACGAGAACAGAGAGTGTATGGTTCTGCATGGTTCTCAGATTTTACTAAGATGTTCTGTGATGTTGCATTGATATCCATTTAATTGTCTCTAATGGTATCCTTGATCACTATAATATAACAAATAGCTCGATATATCAGAGGATCAATCATGCTTTTTTCAGTTATTCAGTTGACAATTATTTAAAATGTTTGACGATAAAAAGAGGAACTGGGGCATTTTCTTCATCCACTTAAATGTGGTGTCTATCTGTATTAAAATAAGCGTCGAAACTATAATTTATGGACGAGCTGATCAGAAACATTTAAGGGATTTCAAGTCGATAGAGCCAATTTCAGTACCTTATACTCATATACGATCGATTTACAGCAGAATTTAGAGAAAACATGATAATTGAGCAGCTACAACGAATAGGACTACTAAGAAATTCCTTTGTTTATGATTGTGATAATCAAATGACTTGCGGATATTGTGCAGACTACCGTGATGATGTTGTGTTTCGATGTAGTATATGTTGAAGGAAGAAGTCTGCTAGAAGAAGAACTTTTTTGCCCGATACAGATTAAGACTAAAGCGATCTGAATAATAAGGACACCAGTAACGCTGGCTGCAACATTTACAGATGTTACTGAAGCTATAGATGTTCAGTAGTATGATCATGGTAGAGATATATGCTCAGTAAAAATGACAAGCCAACACGAATCGTGTAGAGGAGTCGGGAGAATCTTTGTCAGAAAACGAAAATTTAATAGAGGACTTTGTGTTAAAGAAGACTGGGTAAGTAGCATAAATATACCTCAGGTAATCTCAAAAGGGACACTTTGAACAAGTTAGATACCAACAGACTATAACGATAATACCAGTTGTACGGGAATATATGCAGCCATTTTCTATATTATATACGCATGAGTGAAGAGTGTACAGATGCCTACATAGCCTTGGTTATGTGCATCGTGCCGTTATCCACAAGCGGCATTTTGTGGACCCAACAACCGGAGTACATACAGACAATATTGAAGTATGTGGCCGAAGCTGAAACAGTTTTTGGCAACCTTATTTTGTCTTAAGAGGCCTACTATTATGGACCCATAAGGATGAGTTTCTCTATCGTATGCATTAAGATTTCAAAACCTTTGAACCATATAAAAGAAGTGTATTCACTCTAATCCCTTGATTTTGTACCGTAGATCTTTACCCTATACTGACTACTTTCTGATTGGCTAATGTCCCTCAAGGTCAATGAAGATTCGTTCACAGGTCGTCCGTAAATTAGAGTCTTGCTGAATAGAAAAAAACTCGACTTAGATATAAAAGCCCTTAGTATTGTTTACTTATATCTTCCCATTGTTGTATTTAGGACTACAATTGATCAGTCTCTTGTTGGTATAGATGCATTCTGTAAGGATTGATTTGATATTGTCTTAAGTCATAAGCTTTATAAGGACATAGTAGCTAAGTGAATAACGCGATGGCATTTGATACGAACGATAATGGATTAGAATTGTGGAATGAACGTCAACTCTATCTGACGAAACGCTCATTCTGAATTCTACAGATAGCTGAAAACCATCTTAGATATAAAGCATTTTATTTTAAAAGATCGTCTTAAAACTTCTCTATGTCATTTGTCTCAAACTGTAAAACTATAGATGAACTGTGATTGAATTAATCAAGTTCGAATTATGTACACATTGATGTCATCTAATATGAAAGACATTGATTCTGTGATTTCTAATAATACTATTCAGTTGTTTTAATCCTAAGTATATTTAAAGGGATTCGAACTTGAAACAGAGTAGTTCAAAGTTGTTCTTTCTTTCATTACATATGAAACACTGAAGTCTTACTCTATCTCTAGTCCTGACACTAATTTTCAATTACAATTTATCGCTATATATAAATCTTCAGGTTAGGCAAACCTTTATATGAAGTGGCTAACAGTATAATCCAGGACACGCATTTCGTCCGATTCAGTACTCGTCAATTGGATGTACTTGCATCTCAGAGTTGATGTTCACTCTGAGATTAGAATCCAGTGCTTGTGAATTTCGTCAATATCGACGCAATACACTGAAACGTGGAGAACTAACACAACCATCATCAAGAAGGTACAATTATTTATAAATAGTTGTTTACATAAGATAACCAATATCCGTTGGCTGGATGCAACAACCTACTGTGGGACAAGACAAACCAGCTTCCATCTGCAAGAGAAAATTAGGAAAAGATGATGGAAATGGATAAAACATACATTATGCAAATCATCAAACTGCATCATGAGGCAAGCCCTAACTTGGAATCCTGAAGGGAAGCAGAAAAGTGAAAGGCCAAAGAACACATTACGTCGGGAAATAGAATCAGATATGAAAAAGATGAATAACAACTGAATACAGTTGAAACGAATTTCCCAGGACAGGGTTGGATGGAGAGCTCTGATGTTGGGCCCATGTCCTTCCACGACGAGTAACAGGCGTAAGTAAGTAACGCCCAGTATATACATATAAAAACAAGAGACTAATCAGTTACAATTAAAAAAAACTTATTTCAATAGTTGTGATCATAAGTCAATCAAAGCTAGATCAACATAGAAAACCTGTTAACACTATACAATACTGATAGGTCCTAGGTTTGAATCTCATGAGATGGAATCATAGATGCATACTGCCACTGAAGAATCCTACAAAAGAACGAAACGGTCATCCATTTATTGATTCATTCTCTTATTCTAATGTTATTATATAACTATCCTACATAGAATAACTTCCATTATCTTATATCTACTTTCTTTTTTTTCTTTTTCAGTCCCAATTATACCTAAATTATTATCAAATAAAGAAGAAATAGAAACTAATTGTACCCATGGGAATTGTTCCCATTCAATTATTCATACCATTGATAATTATAATCCACATATTAAAATTGGTATTCTATTTACTGTTAAACCACTTGTACAGTTCTTAGTGAATCCATTTGTTGGTCCAATTACTAACAGGTATTGTACAATAAGTATGTATATATACTACTGATATCATTGAAATGAAAGTAGTATGTATGTGTTAGGTATGATATTTTATTTTTTAGTGTTTAATAATAAGAAACTAAATTGATGATAATTGAAAAGATGGTGGATAATTCTGATAAAGTTTTATACTTTGAGTTGAATAGTTTGGTTATGGAACTTTCAACATTGTTCTGAATGATATGATCAGCTGACGTTTTTGCTGAGAATGTTATTTAGAAGAACGATGAAAGCTGCAGAATTGAAAGATCTAGATCAGAGAACGAAATTTCATCTAACTTGGTGACATTTAGCATAGCTATAAACAGTGACTAGTGCAGTTCAATTGGGTCAGTTGTGAGATAGTAACTCACTGATGACAAGGATGAATGTGTTGCTCAATTTTGTGGACTAGTTGAAGTTAAATATTAACACTATCAGATGATGGTTCGGTGGTTATGATGTTAAACGTTCTTGGATCATGGATGCGTACTCTTGATAAGTCTCATACTAAGACGAAACGGCCGTCTAGTGTTGCCAGATCTTCCATGGTGAACTAGATTACATTGATTCATAAATTATTACTTACTTACTTACTTACTTACTTACTTACTTACATACTTACGCCTGTTACTACCAATGGATCATAGACCGCCGACCAGCATTCTCCATCCCACTCTGTCCTGAGCCTTTCTTTCTAGTCCGATCCAATTCTTGTTCATTCGTCTCATGTCTGTCTCCATTTCTCCGTTTAATGTGTTCTTTCGTCTTCCTCTCCTCTTTTGGCCTTCAGGATTCCATGTGAGGGCTTGCCTTGTGACGTAGTTCGGTGCATTCCACAATATGTGTCCTATCCACTTCGAGCACTTTTTACTGATTTCCTCCTCCATTAGAATCTGCTTTGTTCTCTCCCATAGTAGGTTGGTTGCTGACAGTGTCTGACTAACGCATCCGAAGTATTTTACATAGACAACTATTTATAAACGCTTGTATATTCTGTATGATGACTTTCGTAGTTCTTCAAGTTTCCACCCCGAACAGTAGAACTGTGTTGACATTTGTATTGAAAATCCTGACCTTGTTGTTGGTTGACAGACAGTTGTTTTGAGTTAGAGATATTGTTTGATTGTAGATATTCTGCGCTTGTTTTGTCGACCTACGCCTTCAAATCTGCATCAGATCCACCTTGTTCATCATTGATGTCACTTTCTTGTTAGTGTTCCTCAGAAACCTGTAAAATTATAGAGAACTAAATTTGACAAATGTTGAGGGATAGATGTTGTTTCATGACAGTACACTTAGACACTTTTCAGTGATTGTTCATAAGTTTCTTCTCACTTGTATTAGATTACCACAATAGATCATGTATAAACATCAAGGTTCGAATTCTTCATGAAATTCAATATGACCATTTTGGAGGACAGCAGTAGAATGATAAGGAAAGGATATAATACAAGACAGTTGACGAGACTGAAGAGCTTGATTCTTTAGAACGTTCAGGAATGTTTTAAACAATGGCAACACACATCAAACAAGTTGCTATTTCACAAACAGGGAGTATTTTGAAAGGTATGGCGGTTATAGATGGACACTGATAAGAAGTTATTCAATACTCCCCAATTTTTACTGGTGGTTTTATGTTAATATGTCAATAATATGACTTTCATATATGCCCCGGTAATAACCCACTACATCCAAGTGTAAGAGTTCAGTTGATTGTAACCATTTAGATAATTTACATTTTGGTTACTTTACATGACAGTTTAGTTATTAACTACCTTGTAAGTTTCTAAGTACATACATAACCGATGAGTCTCTTAGTTATTTGAATCGTTTGATTGATACGTCAAGTCTACAATTTAATGGTCACTTTTGACAGATTTCTATCCATAACACGGATTTCATTCTGTTCGGGACTTATCAATTGATGAAGTATTGTTCTGTGAGCTGGATGGTTTGTTCGTGAAGTTCTCATTGTTTTTATGAATGACATCATCAGCACAGACTTCAGATAGAAGTGAAGTATTCGAATTTCTCCACATGTAATTCATAGATTGTCCTGTAGACCTCAATGTTGATTGATTCATGTTGATCTTAAACGAGTCCTTGTGTACTTCTTTGTTTTGAATGTATCTCCCGTTGGTTTGGTTTTTGTTCCTATGTTTGTGCATAATTTTCCTGATTGCTTGATAAACTGGATCGATTTCAATGTGTTTGTTAATTGCTGATTGATCTGAATGCCAAGTTTCTAAAAATTCACTGGTGTTTTTGGAATTGCCTCTATTCAATATTTCTACATTTTTCCAGTCAAATGAGTGTCCGCAGTTGTCCACGTGGATTGATATAAGTGAGGAAATGTCATGGCGTTTGACTACTAGTTAATGTTCATGAAGACGAAGATGAAGAGGGTGTCAGCTTTGTTCGATATACTGTTTTTGGCAGTTCGCAAAATTCATCTTGTAGATGATGTTTGGTTTGTCTTAAAACACTTTACTTCTACCTGATGTTTATACTGATGGTATCTTTCAGAAGAACGATGAAAGCTTCACGACTAAACTATCCAGCTCAGAGAATAAAACTTCATCGAAATCATCCACCTGAGCTATAAATCTTCTCCACTTATCCGTTGATTATACCTTCACTTGAATTGATATTCACTTCAGGACTCGAACTCAATATCGTTCACTTCAAAAACCCTTATCACATGATCCACTTAGTTACTATATGAATTCTATTGAAATCTTTCTTATATCTTAATACAACTATTCATCATTAATCACTATCTTAGTTACTACAAATATATCATTGTCTATTTTAAGTAGTTGATAAGAACCTGAATCGATTTATTATTCTGTACCAATCATATTTTTATTCAATTACATATCTAAATAAACTATGTCTCATTTTTTTTCTTTGACTATTTGCCATAGTTACAATAATATCGGTTATCATTGAGATAATCAATAGATTTTAACACCTTTAAATGATTGATTAGATTGATCTAAAATGTTTAATTCTTTCTATTTCTAAGACATTCTATAGATCATTTGAATAAGATATCTATGATGAAAATAAGTCATTATATTGATGTCTTATAGTAATGTATTTGCTAAATATAGTAATTGATGTTTAATCAATAGATGAATAGATAAATGAAGAAGATGAAGACGTTGAAGTATTGGACGGTCAACTCGTTCTCGTAGTGAGGGACTCCATCACAGTGTAAATCTACGATCTCAATTGTATGATTCAAATCCAGGATTTTTGGTCTTGTATGTGAACTTTGAATATCGGTTCAGTGGTCTAGAGGTTAAGCGTTCGTGTACGAGATTGATAGGTTATGGATTTGAATCTTGAGTGGGGGGATCGTGGTTGTATATTGCTTTGAAGTGCCATACTAGTTTTTATTTTACTCATCTAATTTTCATCAATTCACGATAAAGGGAAATAATCTTACTGGTGGAAAAAATGACTCACCCTTAGAATAAGTGAACTCTACTAATCACAGAATATACTAGGACGGAACATATGTGCATACTGTGCGTATTGCCTCGATATTGCTTTAATTTACGACCATTATAAACAAAGATGGATAGTGGCCAGCAGTGGAATGTCGGACACACTTGCACAAGCAAGTGGCTACCAGGACTCAGTAGCTAAATGGATAAGGCGATGGCATTTGAAGTGAATGGTACTGAGTTCGAGTCCCAGAGTGAACATCGACTCTGAGATGCAAGTATATGCAGCTGATGTGTCCTCAATAGGACGAAACGCGCGTCAAACTGGATTCCACTGATTGCCACTATCCATCCTCGCTTAGGACGGAACGGTTATCCAATGCTTCCTGGCTTACAATGGTTCTCTTGCTAAGACCAGTTCATATTGTAAAATATAGAATTATCAACTTCAATAATGTTCTTCAAGCACAATAGTTACTAGCTTCACTTAGTATACTACTGATTAATTTAAGCTAAATAATCATTAATAATTTCAAAGAGGAAAGTTCAATGGACTCTTATTTCTAGAATAAACAACTATTCAATACTTCCTAATTGTTCAGTGATTATCAACATAGGATTGTAAAGATTGTTGAATTTCATTAAGATCATAAACTGATCAATTTTAGACTACCATTGAAAACATAAAAGCAAAAGACGGTCGTTTCGTCTTATTATGAGATTCTTCAACAGTGCGCATTCACCATCTCACACTCAGGACTTGAACCCAAGGTCATCGGTGTCATGTGCAGTTACTCATCGAACAAAATGGGAGATGATCGATCGTACAATATCATAAACTGATGAAAATTAATACATTAACATTATTGGATACCAATGAATTGTTCATTGAATAATATCAGATGGGTTTTGTGGATATTATAGTAATTTCAACGGTTAAGATCATGAGTCATTTGACGCTAGACAACCATGGAAAACCTGGAAACACTGGACAGTTGTTTCGTCCTATCGTGGGACTCCTCAGCAGTGCGCATCTACGACCTCGCCTCCCGCGCGATTCGAACCCAGGACCTACTGGTTTCGCTCGCGAGCACTTAACCACAAGACCACTGGGCCGGCATTCAGTGGATGTTAATGTCTAACTTAAACTAATCCACGAAATTGAGCGACACATGTACCATTGTCTTTAGTGAGTTACTATCTCACAACAGACCTGATTGAACTCCACTGGTCACTACTTCTCACTAGAACTCCAGGATATACCTCTTGAAGCCAGTCTTTAGTAGTAGATGGAAGTTGATACATTAACATTATTGGATATCGATCACGGATTCAGTGATTGTTTATGAAGTCAGCTTTCTTTATATATCATTGTAATCCATGAATTTGTTTGTTTATTTTTTGTTAAATAGAATTGGTTATAGTATTCCAATGTTTACTGGATTCATACTCTTGTTTATATCAATAATTAGTAAGTTTCCATTTAGATTTCTATCGTAGTTTTTTATATATGCATATACATTTATAATGTTATAATTGAATACATAAGTCAATTGAAGCTTCATTTGGTATTGTTTGCTTGTATGTTTGCATTATTGTTTAGGACTGTAATTGATGATCAGTCTTTTGTTGGTATATGTGTGCATCATGTGTAGATTGTTTTGATATTGCTTTAAGTCACAGGAATTTTATGAGTAGAGATAGATGGTGACTAGTAGTGGAATTCAGAACACGCTGGATGTACATGTATCCTAGAGTTGATATTCACTCTGGGATTCGAACCCAGTACCGATAGCGTTCGGAGTGAAAGGTACTACGTTCGAGTCTCAGCGTGAACATCAACTCGGATACAGGTACACCCAGTTGTTGAGTCCCAAATAGAATGAAACGCGCGACCTAGATCCCACTACTAACCACCATCCATATTTGATTATGTTTATAATTTAATAGAATTGATCAAAGTGAAATGAATTTCACTGGATTATTATTGGCAGTGTTATTGGTTGTAGCGATAAAAACAGTGATGTGAGTATTAGTGGAATGAATAAGAAACCTCCTAGGGTAAACTGAATTTTGTTTAATACAAAATTAAAGACTACCATTGTATAGATGTAAACTATGGATTAACTACATTATTTGTACATCTTCCTTTATTTGTTCTGTACGTGTTTTATGATACTTTCAATTCTGTTGTTATTAGAATCGTTCTTCATTTCTCTTCCTAATCACTTCAATTCAATCTTTTGCTGGCAAGTATTCCTATTTCCTTCCTTCCTTCCTTCCTTCCTTACTTACTTACTTACTTACTTACTTACTTACTTACTTACTTACGTCTGTTACTCCCAACGAAGCATAGACCCTCGACCAGCATTCTCCAACTCACTCTCTCTTGGGCATTCCTTTCTAGGTCGATCCGATTGCGGTTCATTTTTCTCATGTCCATTTCCATTTCTCGACATAATGTGTTCTTTGGTCTTCCTTTCCTCCTTTGACCTTAAGGATTCCATGTGAGGGCTTGTCTTGTGACTCAGTTGAAAGATTTCCTCAATGTGTGTCCTATCCATTTCCAGCACTTCTTCCTGATTTCTTCCCCCTCTGGGATCTAGTTTGTTCTTTTCCACAGTAAGTTGTTGCTAATAATGTTTGACTAACAAATCCGAAGTATTTTACGTAGAAAACTGTTAATAAACACTTGTATCTTCTGTATGATGGCCTTCGTAGTTCTCCAGGTTTCTGCCCCATACTGTAGAACTGTGTTGACATTTGTATTGAAAATCCGGATCTTGTTGTTGATTGACAGACAGTTGTTTTGATTTCGGGGTGTTGTTCGATTATAGATATTCTGCTCTTGCTATGCCAATCTGAGCCTTCACACCTGTTAGTTATCTCTTCCTATTTCCGATTATTACTACATACTACTTATATCTACCAATATAAGTAGTATAGAAACCATAGAACTTTTAATGCATATTTTAAACAATATCACATTAGATTCTTTATAACATAATAATAATCATCTTTATTTAATTTAATCCATAGATGATTTGTTCATTTCATTATTTTATTATAGTTTTTGCTTTTGAAACAAATTTCTACATTTTATTGATTGCCAGAGCTATTCAAGGTGTTGGATCAGCATGTTCATCTGTATCCGGTAAGTTATATACATTATGGAATGTAGACATGGTAACAATTCTGTTAGGGAACAGTATTGAGGTCGTACTGGGATATCTGAAGTTGGTTAGTCGGTAGAAATTAACGTAGCCATACCGCGGTCTACAATAAATTTATATCATAGATTTAGTTGAATCTAGATAATCATTGGAACATTGAATAAGTCATTGAATATGTCTCTTTTTCTATTATGAAATTGCTGTCAGAAAAAGAGTTTTGTGGTGATTTGTAGTAATTTAATAGTTGAATTCATAAATGAATGTTAGATCACCATGGAAAACCTGGAATCAGTAGACATCTGTCTCGTCTTAGTATGGAATTTCTCAACAGTAAGCATTCACGATTCATGAACGTTCAACGTCATAACCACTGAGCCATCATCTGATGGCGTTAATGTTTAACTTCAACTAATTCACAAAATTGAGCAACAAATTCATCCTTGTCATCAGTGAGTTACTATCTCACAACTGACCCAGTTGAACTCCACTGGTCACTGATTAGTATAAGACTCCTCAATGGCAGTGCACATACATGTTCTCATACGAAGGACTTGGATTCAGAACCTTCGATTTCGCTCGAGGTCGCTTAAACACCAGTACATTTACACTCCAAATGTACTTTAGTAGTTCCAATAATACTCATATTTCATTTTACATCTTCTGTAAAATATACACATATGATGTTATTTTACATTGATATAGAATAGATCAAGTAAGACTAGCATGGATTCATAGAACGTGTGTTTCGTCCTATTTGAGACTCGTCAGTTAATATTCTCTCCATGACTCGAACTCAGGGCTGTTTAATTTAAACGTTATTGCATTATCTAACTAGTTAATGAGTTCAAACAACTACTCATTTGTGTAATAATTATGAGATTTAATTCACCTTCAAATAATTTTAATTATTCCCTTGCTCATTGTTATATCTTGTGACCGCCAATTAGATAGTAGTGACTTATCGATCGAATCAATGACGCGTAAACCCATATGAGCAGCCTAGAGTTCTGATTGACCCTGTTTTCCACCTAGCTCAACAACTTAAGTCCAGAACACAAGTCTCAACTTCTGCAATGTGATACATTATATTTCAAACATACAATAGTAATATACGTTTAGTATTAGTTCATTAATAGATTCCAAAAATTACCATTCATTATACTGGTCAGAATATAACACTAATATTCTTTGCTGAAATTTAATCAATCTTAGTTAATCTCACAAATAGGATGAAATATGCATTTTCAATTCCATTCCTGACCATATCCCATCTAATCTATATTAACTTATATTAAAATGGCTACAGGTTTTGTTCATAAATTATTTATATATATACATTTCAGTTATCTAAAAAGTACTTAAGTAATTATCTCACAACAAAAAGCAATGTTCGCTTGAGATATACAAACAAATGTATCGATTGAATGCTAACCATCAGATGGTGGCTCAATAGTTTAGAGGTTAAGCGTTTGTGAGCGAGACCTGTGTGTCATGGGTTCGAATCTCATGGAGCGGAGGAGGAGTCTCATACTAGTGCATTAGTGTTAGTAGACTATATGGTTGGAAAAGAAATAATTATTAGGCAGAATGGAACGTGTCAGTGAATTTCAAACCTCAATATTTAAGTGAAGAAACATTTTGAGTATATATGTGCTATTCAGAATGATCATAAGCCATATTATCCTACATCTCTAACCATTAATGATCATAATAGCATAGAACCGAATCAAGTTGTTTGAATCTAATTAGATGGCTCAGTTCAATAGTCAGCATTTTCATGAACTGATCCCACGTTATGATATGCGAGTTCTTAGCTTACAACCAACCTACACTTATGCAAGGAAACTATTCTTATTAAGGTAGATCCTCATATACAAACTATTCAACAACTCATAGAACACCTCATTCAATCAACTTTACAAAGAGAAACACACATTGAATACTATAAGCAGAGATGATGGTGGTTAGCAGTAAAATCCACGATATATGTTTCGACCTAGTTAAGATTCATCAGCTCCATCCCAAAGTTGATGTTCACTTTGAAAGACTGATCAATTACAGTGCTAAACAGTCTTAAACCAATATATCAATGAATGATATTGATTGTTATTTTCAAGTTTAGACACTTGAAGAATGAGATCTAGGTAAATATTGACAAAATGATCATAATGAATGGATTATTCAGTTGTTGTTGTTGTTGTTTATATCTCTTCTTATAATATAGGAATGGGAATGTTAGCCACTTATTATATTGATGAAACAGAACGAGGTCGTGCATTTGCTATTGCTTTAAGTGGACTTGCTATAGGGTTATTAAGTAAGTAAATCTATATTTATAATAATGTTAATGAAACTAATGTAATATGTTGACTAGTAAATTGAATATAACGAATAGCGTGACAAGTATTACAAGGTTTCATTTATTACAGTTATACTGTAAGATAGAAACTTATATCACTAACATTCATTTACCAATTAAGCTCCCCGATAATGGCTAACAACAAGAACTGATACAACAAGCCAGGTTGAGATAGACTTAAAAAGATAGATAGACAAATAGATAAATAGATAGATAGACAGACAGACAGACAGACAGACAGACAGACAGGCAGACAGATAGATAGATAGATAGATAGATAGATAGATAGATAGATAGATAGATAGATAGATAGATAGATAGATAGATAGATAGATAGATAGATAGATAGATAGATGGATAGATAGATAGATAGATAGATAGATAGATAGATAGATGGATAGATAGATAGATATGTAGGTAGGTAGGTAGGTATATTGATTGACTGATTGATTGATTGATTTTGTGATTAAATTCTGTGAATTGTCGCGTCTACAGAAGCGTGTTTCCATCAAAAAACATGATGAAGTCACTTTACTCAGTCCATAGAAACATCAAATTGTTACCTGATTCTCCATTACCTAATATGTATTTTATATAATTCACTTTGGATTTTCCCGATGTGTTTGTAAACAATCATTTCAATTCATACATTAAAAACAGACTAATTCTTAGTTATATATATATATTGTGCTTTCTGTTTTCAAGTTGGTGCCCCCTATGGAGGAATTACATATCAATTTATAAGTAAACAAGCACCATTTCTTATTCTCGCTAGTGTCACTGTTGTCGATGGAAGTAAGTTGAAGTGATCTCTTATGATTTGATATAAACATACATAAGATATTATTCTTTCATTAACTTGTAGTGACTCACGTTTATCACGAGAACACGACTGATTTAATAAAAACAATTATCATTATAAACAGTTGTACCAGTGTTTGTTTTAATGTGCTTCTGTTTGACTGTGCTAATGACAGCTATATTGGGCTTCCATTCTTGTCCACACACTTCGATTGTAATTTCGCGCGAATTCGGTTACCTTCTGTAACCAAGCTTGTATCCTGGCACGATCTCGGTATCCTTTCGATACCACGAGATCGCCAGTGAATAAATCTTGACTTGGTCCATTTTCTGCCTTCTGATATCTGGCTTCTCGGGGTTTTTATGGAGTCATTAGGAACGAGCTTCATGGTAGCGGTGTACATAGTCCATTGCGACTCGACGCCACGCTACAAACTATTCATAATTGAATGAAAAAGGATATGGAAACTAGAAAGTACAAAACGATTACAATTTGTAATGTTGTATAATAGAATAAGTATTAATGTAAAATTCATGCAAAATTCATATTGACAGATATAAGTAGTATGTTAAGCAGTTAACTACAACGTAGGATCAGGCACATATATGCATCGATGCAAGTTGCCATACCTCATTATCACAACAGCATCAACACTAAATTCATACAAGTAGTTAATTCAGTCGTGGTAATCTACAAAGGGAACGTTGCATATAAAGATATAGTAAGAGACGAAAGAATAAGTTTGTAGAAAGAAAGATATGAAGCGATTTTAATCTCTCGATTTAGAGGGAAGACAATGACTGTATACACCTACGCCATTGTAATCGATTCTGAGCCATGTCACCCATAGTCTCTAACCATTGGTTACGATAGTCACGCGGACTACAACCAACTAGTCTGCATCTACCAACATGGCTCAGATTAGAAATTAGTGACTTCAAGGACTGATGCCACGTTTTTGGTATGTAGTATGTATGTAGTATGTAGTACCAATCGAAAATGGAATGCCTATCAGCAGATAGTTGGGAAAAGGAAAGAGAATGAGAATAGAGAGTAATTGATATGGAAATGAAGCAACAATCAAATCTGAGACAATTGATGGATATTCTGCAAATGATGTATTTAACGTATGGTATTCACATTTTATCAAATAACTCTATAATTTTGTATCCCAGTACATTTGGTTGTCCTAAGGTGTGTGCTACTGATATCAACAGATATAAGTAGTATGTAAGAACAATCGAAAATGGAATGCCTATCAGCAGAAAGTTGAGAAAATTGAAGAGATGAGAATGAGAATAGAGAGTGATTAATATGCAAATGAAGGAATAATCAAATTTGCAAATGAAGTATTCAATGTATGGTTGTTAGCTTTTACCAATATATTATGTAATGGTATATTGAAATACATTTGGTTATCACGGCACTTATGTTCTCATTGATTATAATAGAATAAAATCTATATGATGAAGATGATGTAATCAGTAGACAATTCAAATGATTGTTGAATGATTATGGTTTAATATTACGATAAGTATCTGGAATGACTACATAAATGCAAATAGTGATGATCTTGTCGGATCTAGAATATTTCACACTAGTACAACCTTCATGAATTCTAAGTAACCACCATCACGAACAAGAATCAGTTCAAATGTTCATTTACCATTGTAGAATGATCATAAGGTATCATAAAGATTACCGAATGTTCATAATGTACATCAAGAACTGATACTCCTTAGAAAGAATATCAAATACCAGGCAGTATCGGACAATTGTTTTGGCTTGATACATATAATGCTCTACCGACGTGAATGCCTTGCGAGCTAGACTGAAAGTGTTTAGGCCTAATTCACAATCAGAGGTATGAATATACAATGCTGCGGAATATCATTATTTACTTACCTGCTTACTTACTTACTTATTAACGCCTGTTACTCCTCGTAGAGGATCATAGACCGTCAACCAGGATTCTTCATCCAACTCTGATTCTGAACAATCTTTTCCAGTTGTTGAATATATTAATTCTCCTATAAATAATTTTGTTTATATCAATCATATTGTGTTATTGTATTTATTTCCAACATTTAGTTCTACAATTGTTAGTCTTGAAACCAAAGATTCAACGTGAAAGTCAAGAAGGTTCAAAATTAACTGAATTGTTAAAAGATCCATATATTTTAGTAGCAGCTGGTTAGTTTATATTTTATTAATTCATTAGTTATATCAAAAAAGATTTTTGTGGATATTATAGTAATTTGAATGGTTCAGATCATGAGTCAACTGAAGTTAGACCGCCATGGAAAACCTGTAAGTAATGGACCGCCGTTTCGTATTATTGTAGGACTCGTCAGTGGCAGTGGGCATTCACGATCTCGCCTCGTGTGATTCCATTCGGGTCTGTTGTGAGATAATAACTAACTGAAGACAATGGTGGATGTGTCTCTCAATTTCGTGGATTAGTTGAAGTTTTACATTAACACCGTTAGATGCCGACCAGTTCAATGGTCTAGTGACTATGCGCTCGCGCGCGAGACTAATAGGTCCTGTGTTCCGATCTCGCGAGGGGTGAGATCATGGATGAGCACTGCTGAGGAGTCCCACAATAGGACAAAAAGGTAGTCCAGTGCTTACAGGTTTTTCATGGTGGTCTAGCTTCAACTGACTCATGATCTAAACCATTGAAAGTTCAGTATTTGTTTACATAATCCTTTTTTGAGATTAAATTTAACACATACTACTTATTGATAGGTTAATTTTAAGACATTTGTTTTTACTTTATGTGATCAAAGCTTTATCTCAACACAGCTGAGAAAAACAGATACTGACATCATTCTATGAAGTTATTAGTTATTTGTCTAAGCCATGATAATGTATCCAGATTGTTTAACTGAGATTCAGGATTCGTCACAGAGAAGACCATCCATGCGCTATTCAATTTTTCCCCTGGATGATGGGCTTTGACATTCTTTCCTTAAAAGTGTTAACCCCTTCCTGGCCAAGAAAATATGCGGTTTTGGTGTTATTGTAACCCAAAGACTGATGATCTCATCCGCTTAACTGAATTTACTTTTAAATGAGGTCATAATACGGTTGCAGAAGTCATATGATATCATAGAAGAAGCGTATGAAGGCGGTTCTCAAGACGAATCTAAACAACAGGATCCAAATTACTAATTTACATCGTACTTACTCTGTAGTCCTGGGAAAGTGACGAGCTATTACCGATCACATGTGATTACTCTGGATTATATCACCCTTACTGAGTCGTTGCCACCAAGTCAACAGTGATTATACTCACGAAACACAGGTTCCATTTAACTGTAGAAATGTAAGTCCGTGTTCCCTTTGTATCCACATAAATTGAGATGAGAATGTTCTTTCTAGGACCAGTAGACAAAATTTAACCACGGTAATCCAAAGGTAACCATATCCTTATTAAGACTGCGTGTCGTCTCTAGACACTGAATGAGGGTATGATTTTTTAACCTACTCCATCAAAAAGATTCAGGTTTACGTTGATCTCAGTTAACCACCTCGATGATTTTCAGTACAACTATAATGAATCTACATCAGATCTGCAGACAATTCTTAAGACCACTGTTATATATCTCGACAGAATAAGAGCATTTGTTGTGCGACCACACTCGTATAAGAAATTCGGTTTGGTGTGTGCAATTTTTGTGAGTATATAAAGTGATCGCTGACAGGATTAACAGGACTGTAACAGTGGTTGATCAGAAAGAACCGCATGAATATCATCATCAGAAACTATAGCTTTTGTAGGTGTAGCCGCACACTATCACAGATAGAATACACTTTACTTATTTATTATTATTTGAACACATAGACGTTGGAACAAAGGGGCACTGGGTAAATATGAGTAACATAAATCACTTGATTTGTGAGTGGGCTGAGATACTTCTCGGATGCCCAGACCGAAACGGGTGGTTTTCTTTCGGAGCCACACCCGAAGCTTTTGACCTAAAGGTCTGATTCACAAGGCAGTGAAGTAACATAAGGAGATGTAATCCCATGGTGGTCGGTCACCAACGATTGTTTCGAACGCAATTTGTTCCCTCAGAATCCTTGAGCCCATGTACACTGTTGGTTTGGAATGAGAGTTTTCCAACTCCCCTAGGTGGACTCTTCATGTCTATCAACCCGGTTAAAGCACCTGATATTTGCTTTTCGTCCTCTTAATTTCATAAACGACACCCTCATTTGCGAGAACCCAGTGAGTAGGACCTTTCTGGCAGTGGTTGTATGCACATGGCCATATGAGAGCATTTCAAGAGGGAAAGCTAACTCTCTCTACCCTCAACCGTACTAAAGCATTTGAAGGCTGATACATTTTACTCCTGTTGGACATATCGACAATCTTAAGGTAATTGATATTCCCACACTCATTCAATTATTTCTTCTTTTCATTTTATTTTATATACATTAAGGTTCAATTACATTTGGTAATCTTGGTATGTCTGTATTAGAACCAACTTTACCATTATGGATGAAAACTAGAATGAATTCTACTGAATGGCAACAAGGTATTGCATTTCTACCAGCTAGTTTATCATATCTAGTTGGTACAAATATATTTGGACCAATTTCACATAGAATTGGTAGTGGATATAGTGCTGGTTTAGGTTTATTAATTACTACTGGATGTTTAATAGCAGTAAGTTTGTTGTTTTAATAGAACTAATTGACTAATAGTAGAATAATGATAAATTTTAATGTTGATTCATTCAATGAGCTTTTGTCTAGTTAAAATGTGAACAATGGCAAATAGATAAACTTTCTATTATTCATTATTCTTTATTGTCATTCTAAGATTGATCAATCTCTTGTTGGCATATGTACTTTCTGTGTGGATCGCCTCAATATAGCCCTAATTCATAAGCATTAGATGTAAAGATGGATAGCGACTAGCAATGGAATCTAGGACACGCATTTCGTCCTATTTGGGAAGAGACAACTTAATGTATCTGAATCTCAGAGTTGATGTTCACTTTGAGACTCGAACTCAGTATGATTTACTTCAAACAATTTCGCGTTATTCACTTAGCTACTGAGTCCTATATATGAGTCTAAATGTTAGTAATATGTGCATAATGCATCAGAAATAAGCGATGATAAAGTTACTTATTTAATTTTCTACTTACACCTGTTAACTCTCATGGTGGAACAGTGACCGTTCACCAGCATTGTCCATTGAACTCTGTCCTGGACAGTCCTTTTGAGTTGTTTCTCGTTACTATTTATCCAATTTTCGGATCAGTGTATTATTTAGCCTTCCTCTTTTCAATTTTCTTGCAGGAAGAGGAATCGCTAAAGTGACTCTAAAAACCTGGATATACTTATTAGGATCAAGGATCGGTTATTAATGAATGTGAATTGACAGTTAGGGTTTTCATTGTGAACTGAAATCAACCAAAATCTTCCACAATTTATTCAACCACATGAATACAAAGCTTGTTATCTTCAATACCATTGATTCGTCTATAAATTATGTTCACAATCAATTTATAAGTAGTACAAAACTGACTGATAGGTCTATAGTTAATTAAAGACAATTTGGAGACAGTAAACATATCATAGCAATAATTGAATTCATGAGTTAATTGAAGCCAGACTATCATGAAAAACCTGGAAGCCCTGTACGGCCGTCTAGTTTTAGTATAAGACTCATCAGCAGTGCTCGTCCACGATCTCACACGCAAGTTTTAGATAGACTTCTAAATCCAAGTTGTCTATTTGATCACTTCAGTTATCATTTGCGCACTAGTGACTGGCTTCAATATATTTTTCCTGGAGTTCTAGTGAGGAGCGGTGATCAGTACAGTTCAACCGTGTCTGTTGTGAGGCAGTTACTCACTGAAGACAATGGTGGACGGTCGCGCAATATCGTGGATTGGTTGAAGTTAGACATTAGAACTGTTTAGAACAGCTTAGTGGTTTAGATGTTAAACGTTCGCGTGCTCGACTTAAGGTCTTGGGTTCACATAGCGTGTGCGTCGTCGTGGATGCTCACTATTAAGGAGACTCATACTAGAAAGAAACCATTGTTCAGTGATTCCACGTTTTCCATGGTGGTCTAGCTTCAATTGATCCATGAATTCAACTACTAAATTACTACAATCTCCACAAAAAACCCCTTTCTGTTATAATAATAGTCAATGAATGAAAGAGTAATTTGCAAAAAAATTCAAGTATTTAATAACCATACAATAAAAAACATTTGGGTTTGTTAAGAATAGTTAAAAGATGACTGTTATGTCCTTAAGTTATACGATTGCCAATGAAGATACACTGACTTATACCGACCAAACTAATGACGCATACACCAGTACAGGCAGCCTAGAGTTCTGAATGGTCTTTTTTCCGCCTGCTATGTCCAGAACACCAATCTCAGCCTCCACTATAGGTGTGGTGCGTGCTACTTATATTATAAGCAGTATATATAAGTAGTATATGAAGCGAGTCAGGAATGTAATGTCTGGCAGCAGAAGATGGGAAAGATCAAGAAAGGAAGAGCGGGGATAGAAAGAAATTAGTATAGAAATGCAAGGACAACGAAGTTCGAGACAATTATTATACATTATGCAAATTAAGTGTTTTAGTATGGTTTTTCTATTTTACCAAGTAACTCTGTAATTTTGTGCAAAATATAATCCGGTTGTCCACACCTGTGTTCTCCTTCACTACATTTGGTGTAGCTGCCAACCAGAAATGGAAGGGTGCTGTTCTACGAATGCCGCTGCGTGCCTGGAGCTGAGGTGCTAGTTGGGCAGTCTGATGCGGAGAGGTGGCGTCGAGTGGAGTGTTCTGGAGGGGCGGCGTTGGCTGTAGCGGGTGCCGTCGACAGAGAAGAGAGATGGGACGTGCGGCTGCTGGGCGGACATCGGATGTGGATGGCTTAGCATGCCGGTGGAACACGAGTGTTAAGTGCCCCAGGTGCCGGGTGGATGTCGGATATTGTTGCCCTGTCAGGTCGACAGACCTATGGAGGTCAGCGCGCCACAGACTCGACATTTTGACGGAGAGCGTAGCACAGACTGCAGGAACGAAGAATGTAGCACGGCGAGCATGAACCACCACAAGAACGACTGCTTTAAAGGGAAGGGGAATCGTATAGTTCAGATATAATGACTGTAATAATTAGAATGGGGATAACTTAAGAACGGTAAATGGTATAATAACAGTCCATAGGTCAAATGAAAGCTTATAATAAGAGAAATATGAATATACACATATAATGTAGTTACTTAATAATCCTACAATAGAAATATCTGTATAATATTAGTCCACAAATAGATCCTAGCAGTTACCACTCGTTTAGTCTTCTTTTTATCTCAACCTTATTTAGTCTGGATTACAGCACAATAAAAATGCATGAAATAACAGTTACTATGCTTAAATGAAATAGACTTTCTTATCCTTTGAAAACATCCGATTATTTTTCATGTTCTCAGGTACCATTTTCAAAACGAATGGAACATTTAATAGCGCCTATGTTTGGTTTGGGATTTGCTGTTGGTAAGTGAGTAGTAGTATTGTAAGTAGTATTAATGGTGTATTGATCGTTTTATTAAATGTGAATAGATAATATTATATCAATGTAATTTGTTCGCTACCAATGAAACTATATGTTCATATATGACATCAAATGAACAGAGATTTGAACTATAAATGGAGTATGGGTTTTCTTAATGAAAACAAAACTGAAGTATACAATTGTTCCCTACCCTAGGCTATGAGTAACCCATTAAACGCTGAGATGGGAGTTTACGAATCAGAAGTTTGATACTCTTCTGGTAACGATAGATTTCTTGGAAGGAATTGATCTCAAGTTTGTATTTATGTGGGTTCTTCACACCTTCGGTAGTCGTGGCGCTATTGAGCTAAGCCTTAGTGGCCAGCTGCTTACAAAGTGCCTTACCCCCGGTTGATTAGCGAACAGTCTACTTAATACTTGCCATTCCAAAACAGTGAGAGACGATGACTATCCATAGATAACTTAAGAATTCTAAAAACCAACCTCAGGAATTGATACGAATATTACTAATAGTTTATATGGTCAATAAACCAGATAAGCCCGAAAAACATCCCTACTTAAACTTGTCTCCACAAAAGAACTCTATTCATATGACTATCTTCTTTCAGTATAGTAGAAATTCCTATTTTCAACATGTAATAAAAGGAATGATTAGAACGAGGAAAAATTACTTTTCAATTAATTTTTCATCATAGCTCCAGAGGAATAAGTGTCCTGGGTTCGAATCTCGCCGGGGGCGGGATCGTGGATGCGCACTGCCGAGGAGTCCCATACTAAGACGAAACGGCCGTCCAATGCTTCCAGGTTTTCCATGATGGTCTAGCTTCAATTGACTCATGATTTCAACCAGTGTAATATGTGTTTGTAAAAACTGTGGTGTATACTACTTATGTTTGCAGATATAAGTAGTATATAGAATCAGTCGGAATTGGAATACCTGTTGATAGAAGGTTAAAAAGATTGAAATGAAAAGGAGAGACAAAGTGACTGAAAGCAGTCAAGATAATCACATGAATGAAGGAATGATGAAACATGCAAGAGACAATTCAAAGAACATGTGCACATGATGTATTTCATGTTGATGTCAGTGGGCATTGAACAATAAGTTGGTTTTACCTACTTGAGTTCTCATTCACTACACAATGAAGTAATGTTCACTAGGGATTTGTGTTGCGTATTAATTATTAGATGTTGCAGTGAATATATAGAATAATATCATTGTAAATTATCATGGAGTTCCTGAGAAGATTGTTAACATTATCCGGAACTAATACGACGGACTACAGTGCAAAGTCGTGCATGGAGGATAACTGACAGACGCATTCCAAGCAAGGACAGGAGTAAGACAAGGATTTTTACTCTCCCTCTTCCTCTTTCTTCTGATGGTCGACTGGATTATGAATACCTCGACATCTGAGGGAAAACACGGAATACGATGGACAACTCAGACAATTAGATGACTTGGACACTTCACAGATGACTAAGCCCTCGTATCCAATACACACGAACGAATGTAGATAAAGACAGCCAGTGTAGCAGCAGTTTCTGCATCAGTAGGCCTCAGCATACACAAAGGGAAAACCAGAGTCCTCAAATTCAAAGCGGAGAACAGCAATTCAATCACGCTTGATGGCGAAACTCTGGAAGAGGTAGAATCCTTCACATATCTTGGAAGCATCATCGATGAACAAGGAGGCTCGTGGAGAAGATTTGTAGCTCAGGTGGATGATTTTGGCGAAGTTTTGTTCTCTGAGCTGGATGCTTTGGTCGTGGAGCTTTCATCGTTCTTCTGAACGACATCATCAGCATAAACTTCAGATAGAAGTGAAGTGTTTGAATTTCTCCATATGTGTCTCAAAGCTTGTTCTGTGCACCTCGACGTTGACTGGTTCTCATTGGCAACGACTCAAACCTCACTAAACACACGAAGCTTCAAATTCAAAGTCTACAGGAACTCATCGATTTATGCCTAACAACATACTTTCAATTCAACAACAAAAACTACGAACAGACGAAAGGGACACCAATGGGATCACCAATATCAGGATTGATCGCAGAGGCAGTGATGCAAAGACTAGAAGCCGCTATATTACCAGTGATCAAACCAAAAATTTGGATTCGCTACGTAGACGACACCTTCGTCATCGTCGAAAAGAATGAACTAGAAAACACTTACAACCTGATCAACAACGTCTTCGATGACATCAAGTTCACCATGGAACAGGAGTCAAACAACCAACTAGCATTCTTGGATATATTGATCACTAGAACCGACACAGGAAGACTGGAAACTCAAGTATATAGGAAACCGACCCATACGGATCAAATTCTCAACTACAATAGCAACAACCCCAGAGCTCACAAAATCAACTGCGTACACAATTTGTTCAAAAGGGCGAGGACACACTGCAGCACACTGGCGGCACGAAGAAATGAATAGAAATACCTAAAGGATGTATTCCAGAAGAACGGCTACCCCATCAACTTCATCAAAAAATACCAACCGCACGCAGCATTAGAACTCAAGTCAAGCACAAAAATCAACAAAAGGATCACCCTACCATATATACAAGGAATATCAGAAACCGCGACGAGAATGCTGAAAACCTTCGGAATAGGTGTGGCACACAAACCGACAAAATCACTACAATCAATCTTATGCAAACCAAAAGGTGAAGTAACAAAGGAAAACAAATCAAACATCATCTACAAAATAAATTGTGGCAACTGCGAAAAACACTACATCGGACAAAGCGGACGCCCCCTTCACCTTCGCCTACATGAACATCAATTAGCAGTCAAACGGCATGATATCTCTTCACTTATATCAATACACGTGGACAACTGCGGACACTCATTCGATTGGAAAAATGTGGAAATCTTAGACAGAGGAAACTCCAAAAACACCAGAGAATTTTTAGAAGCCTGGCACTCAGGTCAATCAGCAATCAACAAGCATATTGAAATCAATCCAATTTATCAACCAATCAGAAAAATCATGCACAAACATAAGAACAAAAATCAAACCAATGGGAGACACAACCAAAACAAAGAAATAAACAACGACAAATTAAAGGTCAATAAGAATCAATCAACGTCGAGGTGCACAGAACAAGCTTTGAGACACATATAGAGAAATTCAAACACTTCACTTCTATCTGAAGTTTGTGCTGATGATGTCGTTCAGAAGAACGATGAAAGCTCCACGACCAAAGCATCCAGCTCAAAGAAAAAAACTCCACCAAAAACAAGGAGGCTCAAATGCAGACGTAAAGGCGAGGATTGGCAAAGCAAGGACAGCATTCATACAATTAAGGAACATATGGAACTCAAAACAACTTTCAACCAATATCAAATAAAGAATCTTCAATACCAACGTCACGGCAGTTCTACTGTATGGAGCTAAAACTTGGAGAACTACAACAACCACCATCAAGAAGGTACAATTATTTATAAATAGCTGTCTACGCAAGATACTCAACATCCATTGGACGGATACCATTAGCAACAGCCTTTTGTGGGAGAGAACAAATCAGCTTTCAGCTGAAGAAGAAATTAGGAAAAGACGATGGAAATGGATAGAACATACATTACACAAATCACCAAAATGCATCACGAAACAAGCCCTAACTTGGAATCCTGAAGGGAATCGGAAGAGTGGAAGGTCAAAGAACACATTACGTCGGGAAATAGAAGCAGATATGAAAAGGATGAATAGCAACTGGAAGGAGCTAGAAAGGATTGCCCAGAACAGGGTTGGATGGAGAGTGTTGGTAGGTGGCCTATACACCTCCACGGGGAGTAACAGGCGTGAGTATTATTGTAAACTATTAGTGTAGAGCCATGATGAAGAACCGACTGAAAAGAAATCCCCTCGTTCTATTTTTTATTTTTTAATCCTTTTTTGTTTGCTCAAGGTATTTAAAAAGATGATAAGCTGGAAATTAGACTATAATTATGTTAGTATTGTGATGTGCACTACTTATGTCGATAGATATAAGTAGTATATAACACCAATCGAAAGTGAAAATGCTAGACGGCAGAAGATTGAGAAGATCAAACAGATAGTGATTAATATGAAAATAAAGGAACAACAAAGTCTGAGACAACTGATGAACATTTTACAAATGATGTATTCAACGTATGGTATTCACATTCTAGCAAAGAACATTTTAATTCTGCATACAAATACATTCGATTGTCCCTACTTTTGCTATTGTTCACTATAGTGCTAACATTCATGCCACATACATAACAAATCTGTACCGGAAAGAAAAATCTCGAATCATTTCAATGCGGATATATATCACTCTTCTATACTAAAATATGATTTCATTTATTTCAATTTCATTGTTCTCTTTCTTCTTATTTTTTTGGTTTATTTAGGCATGGTTGATTCATCAATGATGCCAATCATGGGTTATTTAGTAGACTTAAGACATGTTGCAGTTTATGGAAGTGTTTATGCTATTGCAGATGTAGCATTTTGTCTTTCATTTGTAATTGGTATGTTAATTGATGGTTGTCATATCTTTTTATCATAAAAATAAACTCATTTTTATTTTCAATAGTTGAAATTATGAGTCCATTGAAGCTAGACGATTATGGAAAACCTGAAAGAATTGGACGGCCATTTCGTTCTAGCATGGGACTCCTCAAAAGTGCGCATCCACGATCCCGCCCCTCACCATAGTGGTCGAGCTTCAACTAACTCATGGTTTTAACTATTGAAGTTTTTAAAATCTTCACAAAACCCCTTCTGATAATTTTCATTTTGTTGAAGTAACCTACTTTGAATCTGGATGGTTTATTCTTGAAGGTATCATTTTCTTACTGGATGATATCAGTCTTAAGTGAATGACAAACTTCTTCAAATTGTTAACTATAGATTTGTTACATTAAGGAGAAAGAGTGTAGTTATAAAATCTCAGCGAAAGAATTCGGAGTAAATCCAACGTTTCGCCTGGCAATCTGATCCTTGAAAACGCTTAAACCAGATTGTTAGGCAAAACGTTGGATTTACTTCGAATTCGTTCGCTGAGATTTTACAAACCCACTCTTCCTCTTTAATTTCTCACACTAACTCGGCGCTCAAATACTGTGAAACTATTTGATCAAATTTAGACGAACGTTTTTTATTTATAGATTTGTTAGTTTGAATACCCTCTGCATGTGAAGAAACAAGATCGGATTCGTTTGGGAAAATTCAGAAGTACAAGTTACTAGTCACTGAAACTAATAGACATAATCGAATGTTGAATATCATGAATAGTCAAAATGTGAATAAAGTAGAGTTGGATTACTTCATGTATCCAATACCAGTAAATGAATGTGTCAAGCATATGAAAGTTCCTTGTTCTTTTTTGTACATTTTGTTGTACTACTTTTAAAAAATTAAGTAGTTCGAATAAATAGAATTATTTTTTGTCTGTTTAGGACGGTAATTGATCAGTCTCTTATTGGCGTATGTGTATACTGTGCATATTGTCTCGATATTACCTCAAGTCACAAGCCCTATATAAAAATACAGATAGTGACTAGCAGTAAAATCCAGAACGTGTGTTTCGTGCGAATTGAGACTCGTCAGATGGATATACCTGCATCCCACAGTTGATATTCATTTTGGAATTCGAACAAAGTACCGTTCACTTCACTTATCTATTGAGTTCTGACTGCCACCAGTGTGTGCAATGTGGTGAAGTTTTAATTCGTTTAGTTATGTAGAGAGACCCATTCAGATATTTAACAAAGAAAGGAGTAGATTGAAGAAATATTTCTTTCCACTCGGTTATTCATCGTGACCCTATAACAATAGCAGAATAATATTGGTCGAATAGTGAATTTACATAATCGTTTGTGAAATTAGAACATCGTCTCACAGAAATAATGGACCGAATAATGTTAGACTTCCAATAAAATCCAACAAGTACCAAATGGCCGTTTTAGTATGGGACTCCTCAACACTGTGTAAGTACAACATCCTAGCCAGAAATTCCATTCAGGACCTTCGGTCTCGCATGTGGACACTTAACTTCTAGACCACTGAGTCGGTATTCAACTTTTCGGAATCGTAGATGTGCATTGTTGAGGAGTCCCACAATTAGATGAAATGACCGTCCAGCGCTTCCAGGTTTTCCTTGATGGTCTAGCTTCAATCGATTTGTGATCCCAACTATCAAATTACTACAATTTTTACAAACCCTTTTCATGAGTATATTTTGTTAGAAATTCATATTCCTGTTGTTATATATTTTTTTAATATTTTTTAATAGGACCAATTATTGGTGCTGTATTGGTGAAATTCTTAGGTTTTAATTGGTAAGTCTATCTCTTAACAATTTGGTTTTATTAGATAGATGTTGAAATAGAATAATTTTGATGGAGTCTTGTTCTTTGAGCTGGATGATTCAGTCGTGGAGCTTTCATGGTTCTTCTGAACAACAAGTGAAAGTAAGACCACTGCTGCATAGGCCAGTCCATGGCATACGATTAACTGATGCGCGTTAGTTGTCCTTGACCTTGACGAGGATCGATGATTTGTTCGATATTCAATGACTCAACTGCCGGATGATTTGGCTACGGCTCAGCGACATTTCGCTGGCCCTACACGCTGATAATTGTTAAGTAACCAAACTATTCACAATCGTGTTCCACTTATCATAAGCTTTATTTTGACTGATAGACTATTACTATAGGATTTAACTTTCTTGAGTTGTGCCCAGTCTATTATTACAGTCTCCCTCATTCACATCCACTTTTGGTTAAACTTTGTACAAATGGTATTTAATATTTTATGGTACGATGTGTTCTGTTTGGTTTGTATATAAACTCCGCATGTTTGATATGCGTGATTCATATGTTGGAGTTTGAGATCGGTGTTCTGGACTCAACGGGCAGGCAGGGCTATACAGGAAGCAGGACCGATAAGGACTCTAGACTGCTTGTACGGATGTTATGCGTCATTAGTCCGTTCAATAATTTAATATTTTCTGATTGCTGATATCATTAAGTCTTATATATTGATAGAGGCATAAAGCCACAAGTTATAATAATACTGTTGTTCAAAACAACAATAGAAACTGTTGAATGAAATCCATTTTAGGTAAGAAGACTCAGTGAACGTCATTTTATCATTGAATGTCCTTATTATACTTGTTATATTGAAATTGTTTTCCTTTCACCTTATTTTAGGATGATTTGGATTACTGCAATCATTTGTTTTCTGTATGCTCCTTTAACGTTATTTCTCAGGAATCCATCAGAAAAAGAGACAAGTGATTTAGAGGTAATATAAGTCGTTTAATAGTATTCTACTCTATAAGTTACTACTAGTGAATGTTTAAAGGTTTATGTAGAATTGTATAAAATATAGATTGAATCTATTGAATTTATGATAAATCTACGTTGTATTATGATGGAATCTACTCACCAGATAAGTTGTATGCAGTTAAACGTTGGATAGGAATCGCTACAATCGACAGTTCAAAACAAGTGAAATGCACAAATACTTGTCAGGCTAGAAAGAAGGTTACAGAAGGTAGTCTATTACCAGCTTGAGTTACGGAATACACAATAGATCCAAATGGAAGACTGAAGAATAAGTGTAGACTAACTAGTTGGGATCTGCGAGATGATAGCAACCGATGGTTAGAGAACTTGAATGTGACATGGCTCAAAATTGTTTGCAATGGTGCAAGTACATCCACTCTTTGTGTTCTCCCAAATTCTAATCTTCTGAACTCTTCATGTCCCTTTTTTCTCTCTCCAAATTTATTCCACTGGATTATACTTCTTGAATAACATCTTCAGAATTTTGAAGTGACTCACTTTTATCACGAGAACACGATTGGTTTATTGAAAACAATTATTATTATAACCAATTGTACCAGTGACTGTTTAATGTGGCCTTTTTTTAACTGTGCCAAAAAACATCCATTATTCTTACACTTTGATTGTGACTTCGCGCGAATGCGGTTACGCTCTGTAACCAAGCTTGTATACTGGCACGACCTCTATATTCTTTCGATACCAAGAGATAACCAGTAAATATATCTCGACTTGGTTCATTAACTGCCTTCAGATATTTGGCTTCCGGGACATTTTATGCATATCCTGGCACGTGTTTCTTGGTAGCAGTGTTCATAGTCAACTGTGACTCGACACCTCACTACAATTTAATGTTTCCGATTACTGCTTGTACTTTTACTACCTCTACCACTATGGGACTGGAAATGACAATTGTATCTGTGTACTTATGTTGTATGACAACTCGAACTAATGTACATACATACGACGTTCTATGTTATTACAGACTGACTACATATATTTCATAATAAAATCTGTGTTTCCTCTGGATTTGGGTTGTTCGTACATTTCAGTATGACTATGATAACTCAAAACTTCAACAGTATCAGATTACCGGCAACCTAAGAAGAATTTTCTAATTCTTTACGAGGTTTTGAGTCTTCTATAACCGGGTTAATCATGTAAATGGTAGTCAGACTGTAGTTAATTCTGCAAAAAATCACATTCAGTAGAAAGAAAAATATAATTAATAATTATCATCATGATTACGCTCGATTTTCCGTCTGTACTAATGGGATGCTAATTTACGTTAGATTCCCCCCCCAGTGTCCATTATTTTACAGGACTTCAACACAACTCAGATGAGGAACACATGACTAGCCTGATTAGAATGTAAGTATATTTCCACACCAAAAACCGACAACAATCACAATAATATCAAGGGTCTGTAGTGACTCACATTTATCACGAGAACACGACTGGTTTAATAAAAACAATTATGATTATAACCAACTGTACCAGTGTTTGTTTTAATGTGCTTTTGTTTAACTGTGCTAATTATAGCCATTTTGTGCTTCCATTACCTTCCATTATTGTTCCGCGGTTTTTGGTACTGTTCGCACGTACTCCATTCTCCTGCTTTCGCTTGTACCATTTCTTGGAACGATCTAGGTATTTATTCGATACCACGAGATCGCCAACCAAATAAATCTGGTTACGTTCAACCTTCGCCTTTTGATTTCCTTGGCACGTGTTTTTTGATAGCGGTGATCATAGTCCATCTCAACTTGACGCCACGCTACAGGTCATTCAATATATAACTCATCTAACATTTATCAGACTATCTACTAGTGTGACCAAGCAAACAACCAATCAATATCTTCCTCTTTCAAACATCAATATGCATAGAATCCCAATCTATCGGTGTTGAGTGTTACTTGTAAGAATTTTTAGGAATGTTTGTGAAAAATAGCGGGAATCTGGAAAGAAAACCTACATATTAATTTAACCAATCAAGAAATTAGGGAGAATTCCCAGTGATATTTAGAAAAAAGTTCATCTATTCAAAAACTTAAATTAATAACTAATTTGACTAATAAGCATGATGGATGGTGATTAACAATTTGATCCAGAACGCGTATTTCATCCTAATTAAGAGTCGTCAGATGGATGTACCTACATCTCACAGTTGATGTTCACTCCATAACTCCAACACAGTACTGTACACTTCAAATGCCATCACATTACCCACTTAGCTACTGACTTTTGATATACACTAGCTTGTGCAAGGGGGTGAAGTTTTACTTTATTTTTGTATGGGTTGCTCGAATTTTTCCATTATTGTTTAGGACTGCAATCGATCAGTCTCCCATTATCATTTATGCATTTTTTCCCGATTGTCGCCAGCATGTTTCTAAGCAGAGATGGATAAGGATTAGCGGTCGTATCCAGTACGCTTGTTTAGTCTCGGAATGAACATCGACTGTGGTATGCAGGTATATTTGTCTAATAAGTCCCAAAATAGGACGCAACACGTGACCTGAATTCCATTGCTAGTCATCATTCATCTCTGCTTATAAAGCTTGTGACCCAAGGTGATATCGACGCAATCCGCATACGATTCACACATGCCAAAAAGAGACTAATCAGTTGCAGTCCTAAACAACAATGAGAAGATTAAAACAAACGATACCAAATGAATTTAGTTACTTAATAGTTATCCGATAGGAATACACGTAATAATAGTCCATAAATAACTCCTATCAGTTACCATTCATTTATTCTTTGTTAGGGTATAACACTTCCCTTTCAATAACATTATCTATCGAGTGATCTATTTCTTTTCTTTTCTTTGGTTTCTTCGACATATTTCCAATACAGATAACAGTTTGTAAATCTATTTCCGGTTTAGATGAATAATCGGGAACTGTCATTCAATTAAAAATGTTGTAAGTGAGTGTAAATTCATTTAAAATGTATGAAAAAATACACATTTTGAAGTGTATCGTTTTTACTTCTATTGTTTTATACTGATAGATCCCGACCCAGATGCCTTAATCCTAAACCGTTAGCCTCAAGTACTGAAGTTTGTAGATAAAACTGTGAATGATTGCTGGTTATCAATCTTATACTAGGAGGAAGTGGCTATTAGTCGTTAGCTGGTTTTCAAAGGAGCCCAAACTGAACAACTACAATACACAGGTTAAACTAATCCGTAGAAAAGCCCATTCAACTTAACAATAAATAATTATAGAAAATCATTACAGAGTGAGTGAAACTAGAAATACAAACCAGCGAATTCCATACAAGTTATCACAATGTAGAACGAACATTATTATATGAAAAGGTTCTGAATGCAATCCCAAGTGACCTGTTAAGTTGGTCCAGAATAGGACAGAGACTTTTGTGGCAGTCCATCACTTTAAAATCTTATCCAGGCGATTTCCAATTTGTAACAGGAACCTGTCGACTCAATACATGGAATTTGTTTAGAGTAAGACAGTAGTAGTAGTAGTAGTAGTAGTAGTAGTAGTAGTAGTAGTAGTAGTAGTAGTAGTAGTAGTAGTAGTAGTAGTAGTAGTAGTAGTAGTAGTAGTAGTAGTAGTAGTAGTAGTAGTAGTAGTAGTAGTAGTAGTAGTAGTAGGAGTAGTAGTAGTAGTAGTAGTAGTAGTAGTAGTAGTAGTAGTAGTAGTAGTAGTAGTAGTAGTAGTAGTAGTAGTAGTAGTAGTAGTAGTAGTAGTAGTAGTAGTAGTAGTAGTAGTAGTAGTAGTAGTAGTAGTAGTAGTAGTAGTAGTAGTAGTAGTAGTAGTAGTAGTAGTAGTAGTAGTAGTAGTAGTAGTAGTAGTAGTAGTAGTAGTAGTAGTAGTAGTAGTAGTAGTAGTAGTAGTAGTAGTAGTAGTAGTAGTAGTAGTAGTAGTAGTAGTAGTAGTAGTAGTAGTAGTAGTAGTAGTAGTAGTAGTAGTAGTAGTAGTAGTAGTAGTAGTAGTAGTAGTAGTAGTAGTAGTAGTAGTAGTAGTAGTAGTAGTAGTAGTAGTAGTAGTAGTAGTAGTAGTAGTAGTAGTAGTAGTAGTAGTAGTAGTAGTAGTAGTAGTAGTAGTAGTAGTAGTAGTAGTAGTAGTAGTAGTAGTAGTAGTAGTAGTAGTAGTAGTAGTAGTAGTAGTAGTAGTAGTAGTAGTAGTAGTAGTAGTAGTAGTAGTAGTAGTAGTAGTAGTAGTAGTAGTAGTAGTAGTAGTAGTAGTAGTAGTAACTCATGAATTCCATTATTTCATTGTTTAACATTGCGTAACTCAAATTACTTTTTAGTGAATCGTTATTACTGATGCCTTACTTCTTTTTATATTTTTCAGATGATGCATTTCTCTTTGTATTGATATTAATATCTCTGTTGAGCTTTTACCAGTTATCCAAGTGAAATCCTAAAAGGAACAAACAACTTAGTAATTCAAACAGATGGATTTATTATCATCAATGAGGTTGAGAAATATTGTGTCTTTCAGTTTGATCATTTAATTTAATTGTGGATAAATACTATTTCCACTTTATTATAAAAAAATCTTGATTAATTTCTTTTTAAGCAAGTCATAATCTAAATGGAGGATACTCATACAAAATGAATCATTGAAATGAATCTATCGTGCCGATAGATAGCATTCGTTCTATCGATAGAAGAAACAAGACTAGTAGTGAAATGGCTCTTTATTTAGATCGTGTTGCAGGATATCATCGAGTACCAGGTTGCTTGTTTAAACACACAACACTTTTCAATGCTCAATACAAGATAAAGGGAAATATAATCCCTATGCAAAATAAGGAAGTAAATGAATACTTGAGCTCTATTTTTTGAGGTCAATTCTTAACAAATCAACCTAAGCTGTTACAGATTCCGTCTATCCATTCAATCAGGACTCTATTAACAGTTGATCATGAGTCCATATAGAAACAGGGAACTGTTAAATGATTGACAATTAAGATCCATGAAGAAAATTTGGGTCAACATGAAAACTTACAAACACCTTTAAGTAAACTTATAAAGGAGTTTCAGATCCTCGAACCATTTCATGTTTAAAAACAGTTTTTAGTGAGGCGCTTAATTTTGTCTTCGTTCAGATCGGACGATGTTTGTTGACGGGCTCTCCACTTTAGTGGATTGTGGATCTGACTACAATTAAATCGTAAAAATATTTGTTATCACCTATTCTCGCATACAATCATCGACTTAAATCACGTGAGTCAATAACGGAATTTAGATAAGTCAATTAACGAGAATGGCCTTTGAATACATATATTTTGTATGTAAAGCGAATGTAATAGAACAAAGCAAAATGACGCGCAGTGGAGATGGCTGGTAATACAACTTCATTTTAGCCAGGCGTTTCTCAATATTTATAGGCAGACAAAATAAACTACAGACATGTTATGAGACATGGAATATGAAGTGTACACACATATACGCTCATATAAAAACATTCAAGACTGATAAACGAATAATTACCAAGGTCAAAATATGACTCAAGTAGAATGAATAGATTGGTTTATCCAAAAACTAGAATAAGATATATCATGGGCTTAAAATAATGACTGAAACTACAAGTTTGCCGCGAAAGTAGTTAAACCATAACGGGCCCATCTATTTTGCAAAGACTTCTAAATTTTTAGTCTTATGAAAATTTTGGTACTTCTAAAAAATTCTTCCCAAAGAAACTCGCTAGTTAGCTTGAAATAGGCTTCTTTCGGGATCATTAATGACTCCACGAAAATTTGTATTGTTTACTTGCTGATTTACCTACGCCTGTCAACCCTCGTGGAACATATAACACAACTAGCACTTTCTAACTTTCTCTGTCTAAGGCCTTCCTTTCAAGTTGTATTCACTTTTTCGACGTCTACTTCCGATATTCAGTGCAAAATGCTTTTACGTCTGCATTTTCTCATTCAACGTTGACGACTTTAGGTTGAGGCTTTCCTCACGATGCAGTTCGCTGATTTTCGTAATGTATGTCTTATATACCTTCAACATCTTTTACTGATTTCCTCCTCAGCCGGAATCTGAAGGATGCTGCTGATGGCATCTGGTCTCCGAGTGCTATTCATGTTTTAACGTCTGCTTCCGATATTCAGCTCAATGTGCTCTTTGACCTATCTATCAACATTTACGACTCCAAGTTGAGGCTTTCCTCATGGTGCGCTTTGATGGTTTTTATAAAGTGTTGTACCCACCCTAAGTACCTTTTATAATTTCTACTTCAGCTGGGAGCTTGTCTTTCCGCTCTCATAGTGTGATGTTGTTGATGCTATGTGGCCAACGGACATTCAGTATCTTTATAGACAGTTGTTTATAAATACCAGTGCGTCTTTGAAGATGATTGTAGCAGTTCACTAAGTCTCAGTTTAATATAATAGAACTGTCTTGATGTTTTTATTGAACATTCTGGGTTCGGTGTTGACTGATGGTCGTTTTGAGTTCTATATGTTCTTCAATTATGGGATCAATTAGTTTGTTATCCCACTTCATCCCTTCCCATTTGAATCAGGTCCTTATAGTTTACCAATGATGCTGCTCAGATATGTAAAGCTTTCAACCGCTGCCAGAGATTCTCCATCAAGTAAGATCTGTTTAATGCTCTCTGTGTTATAGTTTGGGATCCTGCTTTTCCTCTTGTATGTTTCAAGACCTGATGTTGCGAAAGCTGTTGCTGCAGGGATTTAGTCCATGTGAATTTGTCGATGTCTATGGTATAGAAGAGCTATGTCATCCTCAAATCCAAATCATACAGTTGCGCACAAGATGATTATTGCATTCCACTCTTCCTCTCAGATATCGAGGCTTTCATAATCCAGTCAATCACCAGAAGAAACAGAGGTGAGAGTGGGCAGCCTTGGCTGACATTGGTTTTCAAATAGTATGTATTTGCAAACTGTCCTTGCACTGTAGTCCGTCGTGAGGTTTTCGCAGGAAACACGTTTATTTAAAAACTTATTATCTCATTATTCAGTCATTATTCTACTTAAAGTTGTGTAGATCCTTGATACTGCCCACGAAGTGTGCACTTTTAAACTGATCTTCACTCTAAAAGTTTCTCGTACAACCGTCTAGACTTGAGGAAGTCTCCCCGCGTTCGCAGTTACTGATTTTCTCCCTGCGTTAAATGTTGAATGTGAATTTTCTCAGTTCATCTTCAAGTGCCATGTGGTTCAATCAAAACCACAAAGATGAGAAGTAAGTAAATCTATACAAAAACCTGGATTTATGAGAAAACTCGCCGATAACTTCACTTAATTCATTATTTTAAAAGCCTTGACCTTTTCATGAACCATTAAGTCCCGTAATGTGAACCAGTCTATTATGATGGGCCTATCCTTACGTGTAATTTTAGCAATACTTGCCAAAAAACAAAAAAAGTGATCCGAGCATGCTGACGAGTTTGTAGTAAATCTTAAGTATAATACCAGCCATATCGAGCTATTGTCGGTGAAGAAAACACGGTAAATTAGAAGTTATCTGTTCCAAAATAATATTCGACACCATGGTTGATTTCGTTACTAAAAAACTAATATGGAACAGTGTTGTATTTCTAAGGCTGAATTGCTAAGAGCTGAGTTTGATTTAATCTGTGTTACATCATTGTTGTCCCCAAGAGATTACTCACAATTAGCGTTCACACCATGACATTATTGCCAACATCTGGCAATGTGTGTTTGACTACCAGGACCAGAAGTGTTTGAGGAATGTTATTTCATCGTAGTATGCACCGTTCAACATTCGCCGACACTGGGACTTGTAGTGAAAGAGGAAGGGTGATCAATTAATGAAATGCCCTCATGACACATAACATAGGTGAATAGGGAGAGAGTATATTGACAAACTATGGCTGCTACGTTTTGTAACAACCTAGATAATCTGGAATTAAATACATATATTCTGGGGTAGTACCTATCACGTTGATCTCATTTGGATTGCTCTCAAAAACTGGAAAAGACTACACAGATATTATTACCTTTTTGGTTAGCCTTTTTTGTTAGTATCCAGGATTTTATACACGTGCATCATCAGATATCAACCAACTGGTCTAATGGCAAACTACTGCCAGTGAGACCTTTAGGTTGACAGTTCGATCCCAGAGAAAGTTATAGATATTCAAATAAAAGCAAGTCTCACTTTTATTAAAAATTAAAATTCCAAATGGTTTCTGTATAGCCTGCTCTCTATAGCGTCTCAAAAAACTCACTCGAGAGATTATTTTGCTCCTACCATCAAACAAATAACTAATTAACTAACTGCCCATTACTCAAGAGACATGACCAGTCTCAAACTCGAAATGCAAAGCAAGATATACAAGTGTGCAAGTCGTTCAAGCCTGTGTCTTAAGACTCCAGAAGCAATTTAGTCATCACTTACATAAACTCCACGCTAAGAGTATACAGATCATTTAGTTTTGATATTTCACGTTCATTAAACACGAAACTGAGCATAGACTTGTTTTCTTCCTTGAAACCTTATTTCAAAAATAGAAATGTAAACAAAATGTACAATTTTCACCCACTCACTTCCATAAGGACAACAAGCCTTCCTTTCAAGTAATGAAAGTATCGGAGTGCAGTTACAATATTTCTAGTCTCAAAAGTCGGCCTCAGAACCCTCCCTAAATTCATCGTATAACTAATAATCGGAAAGTGGTTTTATCAAATAAAGCCAAACCACAAAAAAACATGAAAGCACTGGACGGCGGTCTCGCCCCAGTGTGTGACTCCTCGGAAGTGTACATCCACGATCACACGCCAAAGAGCCTCGAACTCAGGAACATTGGTCTCGCGTGGCAACTCTGAACCACTAGACCACTGAAATGATATCCAACTGTCAAAATATCTGACTTGAATCAATCCACGATATTGTCCGAATGTTACTAACTCCCTCACAACAGATAGAGCTGTACCCCACTGGATCGATTGAATTTTTACATTAACACTCAGGTGTCGGATGCATGACCGAACGTTTTCATCTAGAGTGCATCCAGTAGGACTGATAAAATCGGACCTGATGCTGTTAACTAAGAAAACTATTTTCTTTAGGGAGTTACTTACCGCTATAGTAACAAATTCACTCGAGTATCAACTGTAACCCATCTCGTTGGCTCGTACACACAAATACTGGTTGCGTGTGTCATATTTTCAGTCATAAAACCTGTTGCAAAGTAAAACGAAATCTAGAATTAAAGGGCTCTAACTTTTCTATGATCAAAGAACAACTTTTTTGACTTATGAAAAAGTTACGCAAAATTATTGTTTAAGTTTACTAAAATATTTAACAGTCTACGTTGAACATTTGTGGCATTTTAACCAGGGTCATACGATGCTCGCTCTCTGGATTCTGTATTTGTTTTGGCATTTATTTTGCATCGTCAACGCATCAAGTCTGCCAGATAATTCTCCTTACAAATCTGCAGACCAAATTATATGGGCTGAAATATCTTCGAACACTACGTTCTGTTGCAACTTAACATTCAAAGGTATTTTTGCTACATTTTAGAACGAGCATTTGATTTACTATTTCAT